CCTTTTTTCCTCCTGCCACTCTGGCTTATGGTATGATGTCAGGCAAGCCGACAAGAACGCACCTCTCCATTAGATCAAAATGGTGGTTGTGAGACTATGCAGACCATCTCAGTCTAGCATTTCTAGGGGCTAAGGCTGACCTGGAGGAGGAGCTGCTTACCTGATGGCTTTCCTTGGTAACTGTGCTCTACTAGCCCAAACAACATCCCTGACAAGTCTCCAGGAAGAAGCACCTATGACAGAAACAGTTGCCTTCTGCCTCAGCAGCTTGTCTTGTTAAGCCAGGGCAGTTCAGGTTTCAAGTTCCCTGTATACAAACCATTTCTAGTACAGGTAACAAGTATCTTATGCTTATTTTACTTACACAATTATAGCTTTGTGTAGGTGTGTGGGGAAAATCAATAAATAAATTGAGAATTGTGAAACCCACTCTCTATTTATTTACCCACTCCTACCCACAGTCCACCCTTACCTGGCTTTGGGAAAGTGGCATGGGGGCTCTGGCAGTATCCCAGAGCCCTTGCACAGCCTTCACAAAGCTGGGTGAGGCGCCAGGTTTTGAGAAGAAGGCTCAAAGGCCCTCCAGCCACCTTCTCAACGGCAGGTAAACAGCCCTACACCTTGTAGGGGGCAGCGGTTCTGTGGGTTTCTGGATCTACACATGTTTGTGTTTACATGTGGATTCCCGGAACTGAACCTTTGCATAAGATGTGAGTTACCTGTATACATGTTGCAAAAACCCTCTATAGATTTGATGCAATGATAAATTGTAAATTCATTATCCTCTTGACTCTTGAAATTTGTAACGAGTATGGAACGTTCCCAAAATGTTAGAAAATTTCCTGGAATCTCCAAAATGTCTTTGTTGCAAAACTTGAATGGATTTCTAATAAATATTCAGAAATAATCGCAAACATTAGTTCATTTCTAGCTTATTATTCCTGAATCTTGGGGAGGGGTACATAGCCTCACATTCCATGCTCCAGTTACTTCTCTAGTCCATGGATGCACTCTCCATTTGCAAACTCTTGTGTTCGTCTACATTGAGGAACCACAAGCACACCTTCCAAGGTCCCATGAATACTTCCTCATTGGCTCATCAGAGTCCTCCTTATCTGTCTCCAACTGTATTCATCAATTCCCACTACCCAACACTAAATTCAAGGTGCAGCTAAGGCTCAAAGGAAGCTATAGCACTTTTACATTATCTTCTATAACCCCATTGGTCATTGGTTTGGGATGCACACAATTTTGATGTTCTTTCAGCATTTCTCCTCTGAGCCTCTTATGTATTCTAGAAATTACCTGAGGGGAAGAGCAGACATTTGTTTTTCTGTTTGTTTCTCTCAAGGTTTCCCTATAGAAGACCAAATCCTTTATTTTGGATCCACATGCTAGTCCTTCCCATTCAGCATGTTATGGTGGTACACATAGTGTTCTTGTTTACCAATGGTAGAAAAATAGTACTCATTCCAGACTGACAAGCAGACTGAACAACTTGACCCAGTCGAACAGCCATGTTTTATTGTCTCCCAGGTATTTAGAACCCCCCCCCCCCGTTTTTTCAGTCTCAGTCAGGCAGCTCAATCTCAGTCAGTGAATTATTTGTGGGGACACAAGTTGTGCACTCTTAAAATTATTGTGAGCTGGTTCTGGAGGACTCCAGTATATCAAAACCCATCACCTTATCCAAACCCCCAGAAGAACATTCAAAGGTAGAGATAAACCTAAGCCAATGTCACACTTATTTTTTACAGTATGCATCAGCAGTCATTAGGTTTCCTGTCTTAACAGTAAACTTCTTAAAAAGCATCCAGAGACATATGTATGCATTTCTAATTATTTATATCTTGTATTTGTACTTTTCATTGTATTTATATTTTGAGTAATACTTGTCTCTTGTATACTACCCTAGAAAAAAGCCCCACTGGGTTTAATAGGATTTACTCCCAGGTAAGGATAGCACTTCAGCCACTATCACTTTTAAGGGGGACTTAATTTGATGTAGATATAACATGGAGTCCTGCTACAGAGCCGTTTATAAATCATGGCACAATCACCACACATCTCTCAGCTTTTTAAAATCTAGTCCTGTAGCAGAAAACAGCATGAGAGCCATCTCCAGCTCCACAGGGTGAGATTGAGGGGTTCTCAATAGCAAGAATTTGTACACCATCCTCAGTGACAAGAGGAAATAAAACATTGGCATATGCATGGTTATAACAGATTTCATTCAAAACAATACCAGAGGTAACTGATGCATTTGGAGACAGAGATAGTTATACTCCTTATCTGCTAACTATAGCTCTCTTCACTCATGTGCAAAATTTACAATAAATGTGTTGAGGAGACAGGCCTTCCAGTGTCAATGCACTCATGCCGTCCATTCCCAATGTTCTGATAGCCTTTGGGGGTGGGGATAGGAAACACCTATGCTGATACAGTTGTAGGTCTCTACAACTCCCTTTCACATGTCTAACATGTCTGCATGGACATTAGGGTGAGGTGGAGTGATAATGTCAGGGTGGGGCCCAGTGGGGCCTGGTCCCATCCCATGCATTATTGTACACATGGGGCACACATGGCAAGGGCTTGTGATTAAAAACAATAAAAGGAAATATTTACAGGGAAAATTCAGAGTTCTTTCTGAGGATTTCTAAGGCTGCTGAAGCAAATGGGAAAACTTTTCATAGTTGTAGTACCATTTCAGGCTTCAGCTCTCTGTGTGTGTACATGCGCTCTGCACATGCAAAACTGAGTTTAATGGGAATTACTCCCAGGCAAGTTCTGAACAGCAGCCATAGACTTTCCTTTAAGTTGCTCTACCCGTTACTTCTTTCTGGAATGTTAATTTCCTGTGGTGGACCCCCCCCCCCCAAACAAAATGAAGTATTCAAAAAGGCAGTTAATGTGTCACCGGCAGCATAAACTTGCCCTCAGTTTGGGATTTTTAGTTTTTGCTGCATAAACGAGTCGTGACACAAGATAAAACAGTTGGTTTATGGCCTTTATCAAGATTCTTCTTGGGTGACAGATTTGTCTCAACACAATAAGTAAGTTCAATGGTAGATATGCCAGGTTGTTGGTGTTTTAGTGCACAGAGGTGCCGGTGAGGCCATATTGTGACAAAACACAATGAAGCATTTGAAATGGAGATGCAGATGTTGATAATCATGAGAGATTTTTTCCTTTTTTAAAAAAAAAAGCAGTGAAGTTGAGAAAAGATTTAGAATCAAGTATACAAGGAAATATTAAAAGAACAAGTTACTGTTCGTTCTACAGTAATTAAGATTGTGTTGATCGACAGCAACACGTCTTAATTGCCACAGACAATTACAGAACAAGGGCAATTGCATGGAAGTAGTTTTTGGTTATACATTAGCGAAAACTAAGATCAAACCCCCCCAAAAATGTGTAGAGCATTCTTGAGCAGGCCCCCTGCTTACAAAAGTAAAGTTGTGCTGATCAGCTGCTGTCTGTTTATCTTTACACATTTAGATCTCAGTGGCCAACCCCCCACCACGACTGCCTGAACCAAGGAGAGGCATTTGCAGCCTTACAATTTATAACTTTTGGAAAACTTACAGGCAGGCACTTCCAGCACTTTTAAAAGGTTCCAGGCACAGTTTCCAGGCAGCTTCATGGGAACCAATGGCACAGCAGTGCTTACTTATGCACTCATTGTGTTTGGTCCCAGCTCCTGATAGAGAGGAGAACAACTGGGGCCCTGCTGAGGTCACTTGCTGTCTGCCTGTACTCCACGTGGCCTACTGCTAGAGGGTTCAAATAAGGTGCCTCTATTGCTCAAGTAACCTCCCCCCCGCCCTTTTAAACTTGTTGGCTCCTGCTTCTCTTCTTTAGGGAAGTTTTTAATGTGTGACATTTTAATGTATTTTTAATCTTTGTTGAAAGCCACCCAGAGTGGCTGGGGAAACCCAGCCAGATGGGATGGGTACAAATAATAATAATAATAATAATAATAATAATAATAATAATAATAATAATAATTTGGACAGTCCTGGTATCATAAAGCTGTTGACCAAAATTGCACCAGGACACTTCCTAGCATTTCTAAGAATGCACTCCAGTTCTCTTCCACTGAAGCACTCCAGTGGTAGGTCAGCATAAGAGATAGTTGATCAACTAATGGCAGAAATGCTTTGCCCATTATAAAGGTCCAGGTACCTAGACTGCCCCCTTCTTCACACTGCTGGACTTCATAAACAGCTTGGCCAGCATCAGATGTAGATATTCCCAGTGTCTCCTTCCAGCTGGATTTATGTTACACTTCCTGATTCTTGCAGTTACCTGTTTGTGATGGTGAGTATTTGCTAATGGATTAGGTTCTCCCTGACTGCTACTGTGATGTTCCCTTCCAAAGACTTCCTTTGGGCATTACTTCTTACTGCTTTGGCACCTCATTTGCCCCCCATTATGTCCAAACCAGGGAACTCAGACTAGGAAAATAAGTCAGGATCGCACTGAAGTAGAGATGAGGGAAGGAATGCTAAAATCCAGGGTTCATTTCCAGCTTACAAAGCCATGGTATATGAAACATGGAACAATTGTCAAAACTAGGCTCAAGTGTCTTTTTAAAGTGGCCCATATTGATCCCCATGATTAAACAGAGCTTTCAGAAGATCTACAAAAGGTAAGGGTTTTTTGTGTGGATTCTCCAGTCCTTTATACTGGGTCCAGAACTGCTGGGCATATTCTCATTATCTGTGAGATAGAAGTAAACATTCCCAGACGATGACAACCAAGTTTGTACCTGGTCAGAGGTTGAGATAATATTTCATTAAAATAGATTTGAGGTTAGTAAAACTATTTTATGACTCTAATGGACTGGATGACGTTTAGATACTTGAGAAGTAACCTTTTCCACAGATTTACATTCTTAACTGAATGTAACCTACAAAAAATGGATTGACATGAAATTAGTGCAGAAGAAAGGTAAAAATAACATGACGAGTGTTAGTAAAATTGACATGAATATTTACCTTTTGATGATGAGCTATAATTCTCTTGTTCTTCAATGAATAAAATGCACGGAATGATGGGAACAAAAGAAAGAAATCAGCAAATTTAAAGTTAGACAAAAAAAGGTGTTATACATGAGAATGACAAACACTATAGGCTCTGTTGCAGCATGCATAAAATTAATGTGGGGAACTTGGATGACAAGACCATGACAAATTATAAAGTCTGAGGCCAATAGAGAGCTAAGTATGGTCAAGTCCATTGGAATAAATTGCCTTAAGCCCACTTAACAACATGTTGGGTTGTGGCCTGTTCTTTTTTTAATATATTAGAAAAATTAAAAGCTACATCTCTGTTGTACACAATGAGCACTTAAGAAAACAAGCAGTCGGAAAAGGGTTACTCATGTGAGGAGACATCTCTTCAACTGTTACTTTTTCACATCTTTCATTAAAAAAGATTCACACTAAAAAAAATAATAATTGTGCTGGGTGGAGCCTAAAACGTACATTTGAGAAAGTATTTTCTTTTTATCCATTCCCGATTAGAGTACTTACATACTGCACTTAATCTGACCGGTATTAAAAAATACACGATTGTATCAGAAAGCACTCTCCAGCTCAGTCCAACAACAACTAAAGCAAAGCTTGAATTGCAAACAACGGAAGAGCAGGATCACACACACAAAGAGTGAAGCACCTATGGGAGTATGTTAACAAAAGATTGAATGAATGAATAGCTACTGCATGACTTTTCAATGAGCAATTGTCATATCATTTTCACAACGGTGACCATTAAAAGTAGCTTGCTTTATTAAATATTACTGAACACCTACTTTTCCTTTGAAAATACCCACTTTTATAAAATGCAGTGGCTGTAGGGTACCACCCCCCCCTCTTCTTTCCTGGATGTCCCATGTAATCCAACAATAAGCACTGGCAACTTTAAAATAATTCAAGAGGTGTTTTAAACAATGTAATAGGAAATAAAGAAATGAATAGGAAGTCCTTTCAATAAATGGAGGTTTACTATCTGAAACTAAACTGCAGAATGCCCAGATCAAATGGCTCACGAAACAGTGCAAAATATTGCAGAATTGAACATTGCCTTACTTCCAGGTGGAGTTGTGATTTGTGTGATTTATTGTCACTGAACCAGGTTCAAATATTTTTTTAAGTGTAAATGACCAGAGCAGCATTTTTCGTTCACCTAGCAATCTATAACCACTGGTATTTGTGAAAGCAAATCCATCAAGCATCTCTTCTAGAAATCTCTATTCATCTGAAGTCTGCTGGATAGCATGCTTTGTTGAATCAAACAAGAGCAGAACAAAGGAAAGTCTGAAAACTGAAATATTCTCATAAGCATGGTGTTCATACCATAATGACCTTGCACTTGTATATGTAGGGAACTATGCGCACAGGAAGCAGTCAAGTGACCTCAGTGAACTGCAATGCTAGTTCAAATATAGCTCCATTGCTGGCAAATGTTCTTCCCTAAGTATCACTTGCACATTATTATTATTATTATCATTATTAGTAGTAGTAGTAGTAGTATTGCAACAAACACAGCTATATGCATTAAATATAAAGCTTCATACTAAGAACAAGGAGCCATTTTTTACTCTGTTTTAAAACCGCTATAGCATGTTGGTGTAAAGGTGGCATGGCTGTGCTGAAAACTCAAGAGGTTTATAACTTTTTAGTTAAAAACTGTTGTAGCAAGCTAGGTAAAGACCTTCATGATACAGCTTTATTTTTTATATACATAATATTGTTGTAGAGGATAGTAGGGTGTTTGAAAGACAGTGGTAATGCACCTGTTTGAGTTTCAACCTTAAAATAATTCTGCCGGGCTAATTCCAGCAAAAGCAATGCAATTTAAATCCATATAAATGTGTTAAGAACTAAAGGCACTCCTAGTATTATAGATGGTAGTAATCTAGTCCCAGCGTATCAGTGGGCTCAGGCCAAGTAGACATACAGACAGACAGACAGACAGACACACACACACACACACACACACACACACACACAATATCTGGTGTTTTGTTTTAGAACTCTGTACTCTATCTGTATTCTGACATTTAAAAGCACACTTTATCTGCCATCTTTCCCCCACCTCCCTCTTTCAAACATGTCCTTTCACATCTTCTCTTTTGGCCACTTGCTTGCACTAATATACTCATTTCTCAAAAGACTGTTAGAGATACAGTGGTACCTCGCAAGACGAACGCCTCGCAAGACGGAAAACCCGCTAGACGAAAGGGTTTTCCGTTTTGGAGGTGCTTCGCAAAACGAATTTCCCTATGGGCTTGCTTCGCAAGACGACAGCCCATAGGGAAATCTCCGGGACAGCGGGGAAGCGCAGCGCGTCTTCCCCGCTGTCCTTGGACCTCCTCCGAAGCCTGGTGGCGGGGCGGGGACACCTCCTCCCGCCGCCGCCGGGCTTCGGAACGATGCCCCGATGCCGGGCGGGGGGGGGGAACGCCTCCGCCCGCCATCGGGACGATGCCCCGATCCGGGCGGCGGGGCGGGAACGCCTCCCCCCGCCGCCCGCCATCGGGACGATGCCCCGATCCCGGGCGGCAGGGGGGGAACGCCTCCGCCGCCGCCCGCCATCGGGACGATGCCCCGATCCCGGGCGGCGGGGGGGAGAACGCCTCCGCCGCCGCCCACCATCGGGACGATGCCCCGATCCCGGGCGGCGGGGGGGGGGAACGCCTCCGCCGCCCGCCATCGGGACGATGCCCGATGCCAGGCGGCGGGGGGGAACGCCTCCGCCGCCGCCCGCCATCGGGACGATGCCCCGATGCCAGGCGGCGGGGGGGGGGAACGCCTCCGCCGCCGCCCGCCATCGGGACGATGCCCCGATCCCGGGCGGCGGGGGGAACGCCTCCTCCGCCGCCCGCCATCGGGACGATGCCCTGATCCCGGGCGGCGGGGGGGGGAACGCCTCCGCCGCCGCCCGCCATCGGGACGATGCCCCGATCCCGGGCGGCGGGGGGGGGAAACGCCTCCGCCGCCGCGCGCCATCGGGACGATGCCCCGATCCCGGGCGGCGGGGGGGGGAACGCCTCCTCCGCCGCCCGCCATCGGGACGATGCCCCGATCCCGGGCAGCGGGGGGGGAACGCTTCCTCCGCCACCCGCCATCGGGACGATGCCCCGATCCCGGGCGGCGGGGGGGCAGGAACGCCTCCCCCCGCCGCCCGCCATCGGGACGATGCCCCGATCCCGGGCGGCGGGGGGGGACGCCTCCGCCGCCGCCCGGCATCGGGACGATGCCCCGATGCCGGGAGGCGGGGCGGGAAGCCTAGGCGCGCTGATCTCAGCGCGCGCAGGCTTCGGCATGCTGGCACCTGTCTGCAAGTAGCGGCAGCACTGCCGCTGCTTGCGGAGAGGTCCGCGAAGCCTGGGCCGGACAGCTTTTGAAGGCAGGCGGGGGGAGCAAAGACTTTCGCCCCCCGCCAGCCTTCAGAAGAGGTCCAGGACCTCTTCTGAAGGCGGGCGGGGGGCGAAAATCTTTGTCCCCCCTGCCTGCCTTACCAGGGGCTTTTAAATCGCCCCGGACAGCGGAGAAGTCCTCCGCTGTCCCGGGTGATTTTAAAATGCCGCCCGTCAGCATTTTAAGATCGCCCCGGACAGCGGAGACGTCCTCCGCTGTCCCGGGGTTTTTTAAAATGCTGGGGGTGGGAAGAAAAGCCCTTGTCCCCCCCCCCCAGCCTTCAGAAGAGGTCGGGGGACAGACTGTCCCCGGACCTGGTCTGAAGTCGGTTTCCCTAGGAACGCATTAATTGATTTTCAATGCATTCCTATGGGAAACCGTGCATCGCAAGACGAAAAACTCGCAAGACGAAGAGACTTGCGGAACGAATTAATTTTGTCTTGCGAGGCACCACTGTACCGTAATATGATACAAACTGGCAAGCAGGCACAAATGTTATACGGAACAATTATACTTTTGTTTTGTTTTGTTTACCACCGGTAAATAAAATTAAGATACAGTAGTCATTTCACTGGCAGCATTCCTTTTCCATGAAAACGATTAAGAGAGTCCATTCTAGAATACTGACACTTGCTACAGTTTTTAGCTGAGTATTTTGTCTTTGCTTGTCTTTTTTATCCTGTATCTTAGGAACATGGAAAACTTTATGCAATAGAAGCATTTCACCAGAGTTTGTTCATTTTCAATTATACTGTAAGGCTGATGTATCATTCTGTAATCACCTAAAGATATATTTCTCAACGAGCCCTTGCATATTAGGCTAATTTGGTTAGGAAATGAAGTTGCCATGGGGTTAAGGCCTAATTAATTCAATTAAATTGACTTCAGCATGCATCAGCCCTCATAATGCTAAATATACACCTTAGGCTTTCCTGAAACCCCTCGAGTCATTTCTGATATTTCTCGATGAGTTATATCCAACAAGCCATATCGAGAGTAAACCCACTGAAATCTTTTTACTTAAACTGGCACTTGTTCATTAATTTCAATGGCTCTGCTCTGAGTGTGACTTAATTGGAGACACCCATTTATCTATACTTCCACTATGCATGTGTATCTTTATTTCTAACAGATAAGATCAGAAGCTGGCCAGATGTTTGATGTCCATTTCCCACTAAGGTGATTGTGTAGACATTATCCTTTATCCACAGGAAATAAAATCTGGACTTCCTGTATTGTTACATTGAGATTGGTTCTTCTCTGGGATCTCATCACTGCTGCCAAGTCAGAGAATTGCTCTGCAGAGGGATTTAACGTTTGGACAAAACTCCTCCTATGCCAGTTTTTACGTTTCCAGTTGAGTTAATGACAGATTGAAAAGAACAACAAATGGCAGGATTTGGCTGAACATATGAAACACTTTTTTAAAAAAAGGCCGTTCAAGGTAACAATGAAAATAGCAAGACTTTCATACTTAAACAATTTTTTCTATCCTTGCAGAAATAACCCTCAGTGTTTTCCTAGTCAAAATCCTGTATGCCTAGTGGGCAAAGAGGGCAAATTGGAAAGGCACAAGACAGATGCACAGAGCCACCCTTGGTAATGGCCAGCTGTGAAGGAACTTCCAAAGGAATGGCACCTTTTATCAAAATAAGTTTGTCCCTTTAACAGCAACAAAGTTCCAGCCAGAAAATCTTCACCCAGAGTCATCATGTTAATTTTTTTACCAACATAAGTAAAGTGATATAAAGTACAAGTGTAAGAGCACCTATTCAAGGAAACGCCCACGGCATTGCTTTTTGTTTTGTTTTCTACATTGCTGCAACCATTCTAGTTTTCCACTCTTGTGGTTTGAAATGGAGACTGGTTGACCAGATTACAAAATCCTATAAGCATCATTTGAACTGAAATAGTATAGTACATTTTCCAGTAATAAGAAATTCTTCACACTCAGGGGAAAAACACACAAACATTATACCTTATCTGTTTTCTTATTATGTGTCAACAAAGAAATAATATGCAAATATCCACAAAACTCTCTCCTCTTTGTACAGCCATCCTATAATTGACAGTTTGAGATAATGCAATCTGTTGAACTGCAATGTAGTTTTGTAGCAAGTTGTTGAACCAATGAGACCTTAATTCATGGTGACATGATATAGAACAGCAGATACATTACACATCAAAACCACGTGCAGAAAGGAGCAAATATCCAAATGAAAATGAATGTATGGAATGGGAAACCACTTTGACATACTCTCTACTCTTCAATGATGGCTGTCATTCACTAGGAAACTCACATCTATATGATGCATGTATTGGCAAAGAATGAACATTTGAACCATCTCATTCTCAATACATATTCATATCTACAAGGATGCATGACATCAATTTGCTATAGAGAAAGAAAACCTTCAGTGTTTTGCCCTTTCAGTTCTGAACTGCACCATGTAATTAAAATATGAAAACTCATATTTCACATGATCTGTAATGTAAACCTAGATATCTGTGATTTCAGAAATGTAAGCAGGTGATTCCATCCCCACCACAGACCAGTAATCCAGTAATTAAACTGTTGTAAATATGATGAAGAAACAAAGCTATTAGTACTTGCTAGATAGCAGATGCTGCAATATCTCTCAGCCATCTGTCTCAGATTTTCTCTAAATGTGTTGCTGATGGCTTCATTTGTGTTTTCCTAAGTAGTACATTAATTTCCCCCAACTTTTGCTTTTAACTTTTGACATGCTCAGAAAGGGATGTTGTTTGCATTGTTCACATTTCTGTCAGCAAATTGCAATCAATTAGCATTAGGTAGATAGCAAAATTAATGAAACATGAATAAACAGAGTGGGTTATTCTCCGCCACCTTAATCTGCCCCCTTGCCAAGAACCCAGCTTTAAAAGTACATACATCGCTAGAAAACATGAAACAGACTTTTTGAAACAATGCAATAATCAATTGCACACCCCTAGTTTGCAATCCACTTTTATAAGAATATACTAGTTAATCAGCAGAAAGCAATAAAGCATTGAAGACTCTGTTTACAAAAAGAAAAAGCAAGATGGTTTTGCAGCACAGGAAGAGGGAGGAAAACAAACCCAAGATTTTAAACTGTAAGCTTGTTATTTGATACCTTGCTCTATACTGCCGCTTCTGATGGGAACTTGTGGAAGCTGTCTCCCCCTACGGCTGCTGAAGGGTGTGTCTGCTGGAGACGACTGCATGGGACTTCCTGGTTGGTGCATTCTGCAGGCAAAATTAAGATTAAATGGGATGGTGTAACAAACATCTGAACCAAAGAGATATTACAAGCACCAAGGCTAAATACTTTTGTTAAAATGATGGAGAGGAAGTACCTTACTTTGCATTGATGCCATAAGCTATTAGTATCTGTTCAATTCAGAAAACATTCATTTTTAGCCTGCTTAAGTGTGTGTAAAACTCAAAAGGCCTTTTCAATTAGCTCACTTTGATGTGGCAGACTAGAAGAAAGTTACTTAGCTACAGAGGCAATTAATCACCAATCCGGAACTGGTGAAATCACCAATTAATCACCAATCCGGAACTGGTGAAATTTTGAATTTGGATTCAAATACTGTAGGCTACTCCATTTGGAAAGCTATGGATAACAATGGTTGAGAAAAAAATCATGAGTACACACACACACACACACACACACACACACACACACACACAGGTTAGTTATATGTATTTTACATCTACAGGCTTTCCATAGTTTTCATTCTTTAAAGCACAACTACTGAATAATACAATTGACAGTGTACATCTGGTAGTAAAGATGTAGTAAAGTACTTCCAAAAGAATTTAATCTTCTATCCAGCCTGCATTCTTTTTCCAGATACATTACCAGTATAAAGCTCAGTACTAAAGCAATTTCATAGAAGTAGAGGATTATTATACAGGAAAGGTGACAGTTGCAAATCAAGAGTCAGAGTATGTTCACACATCATCAGCTATGCATTCCCTATGAATATGAGTTTAGGATTTTCTTTTTGTTTTGTATGTATCTTCTCTCTCATTTCTCTGTATCCTCATTTGACACCGTGGCTAGCTGATCAAATTGGTATTGTTTTTCCTGGTGCAGCACTTCCAGGAAACTTTACAAATACCATGAAGGGCTTGAAGGATAACAGATTATATCACTGGATGAGAAATGATTTAAGATAAACTTATGAAGCATCACTGAAGCTGGGACAAGTCAACAATAACTATTATTTGCTTCTCGTAAGCTTGGGGTGGGGAATTTTCCATTCACTGTTTTCTCTATACAATACTTTCATCATACCAGTTCTAAGTTCAGGACCCAATCTGTTCATAATCACGTCTCTGGGTTTGCTGGGACTTATTTCCGGTCTATTTAGCCTCTCTATACAATGTACAGTGTGCACAATACCCATATGATAATAACAAAGCCCAATTTCCCTCTCCATACCTAGTATGAAGAAAACGTGTGATGTGAGAACACACCCTTTGTTATATGAATAGGCTTTTGCATTATGTAGCACATTTCTGAAAAATGAAAAATATTCTGAAAGCTTTCGTATGAATGCATAACACAACAAAACAATGGGAAGACAAAACAGAGGCTGATTTTCACCATTGTGATAAAGCTTGTTGGTATGACTGTAAACAATCCAGATAGGGGAGATAGGACTTGAACGGAGAATATGAGAAAAGTGTAGATATTATGGCGGGGAAAACAGATTGCACTGGAGTGCCAGAATGAGTGGATGCACTGCATGTACTCCAGAAAGTACACCACCACATTTACATCTGGGAGGCAGGAAACAAAATGCTGTGCTGTACATTTAATAGCAACCTTGTCAGAAGTGGAGAAGGTGGTGCAGACCCTCCAGGAACTAGGTGATGTACAGAACATAAGGGTCTGATACTAGAATGCTCACTCGACCTTGAGCGAGTGTGATGCTTTCCCCTAGTAATGACTGGCTGATCACTGATTCTTGGGGGTGGCAGTCCCCTTCTAGAACATGGCAGTAGAACCCTAAAACATTAGGGCCAAAAAAATTGGATTCAGTCATTAGCTGCATATAAGGTTAACACACACAGAGAGACACACCAAATCACCACCAGTATCGGTAGCTGCAAATCCATGATTTTCAGTAACATTCATTATTCATTATCTTTATAAATCTGGTTAGTAAATGATCAAACAGCAAGTTTATCCCTCACTACACAGTAATACACAGTCTGGAGCTACGAATCTGAAAAAATGATGAGATAGTTACTTGCAGTTCTAAGACCAAACTTCTTCCCAGTTTAGAAAAAAAAATCTATTTCACATCTCAAAAAGTGTATAATCTGAAATATTGACAGACCTATCCATTTTACAATATTGGCCTCTAGTGGATGCTGGTCTCTACTGGACTCTATTGGGGGTTGCCATGACTTATTTTCTCTGAATGAGGTCTTCTGTTGCTTGGATTTCTGAAAAATACAGAAGTTCCAGAACTGCAGCTCTTCCCACCACAGTGGTGCCGTGATGAGGAAACAGCTCCTGCAAAATGTCACCATGCTTTTCCACCTGGCACCCCAATCCAGAATGTGGCTATCTACTGCCAAAATATAGAGTGGAAACAGGCAGCCACTTGCTTTATGCTGAAGAACAGCCTTCACCAAAGGTGTCATGGGCTTTGAAAACACCCAAACTCAGGACGCAAGGGAGAAACGTGCTAAGAGGGAGAAATGTGCACGCTTGGGAAATCCACACCGTGATCAATTCCTGCCCGGAAACCAATGTCCCCACTGTGGAAGGACGTGTGGTTCCAGAATTGGCCTCCACAGTCAGTTACGGACTCATTGTTAAAACCGTGTTTATAGAAGACGATCTTACTCGGCTATGAGTGATCACCGAAGAAGAAGAAGAAGAAGAAGAAGAAGAAGAAGAAGAAGAAGAAGAAGAAGGTTGCCACTTAAAAGCTCCCCATGCACTTACACTTAGTGCTTTTTTTCTAGAAAAATAGGTGCTAGTACTCACCATTAAGTTGTTACAGTAAGTGTCACACTTTTTAACAACAAAAAAGAGTACTGCATACCCTTGAATAACCCCTGAAAAAAGCACTGCTCTTACTCATTTGCAGAGATAGCAACACCATGGACCAAGAGAGTTACCATGCTTCTACAACTGTGGAGAAGCAAAACATATGGTAACATTTCATGGCATGGTTAGAGCATACAGGTGAATCTGTTTGGGTCTCCCCCCTCCCACCCTCCTTTTTCTTTCTTTATTATGTTCAGTCTTCATGGAATTAGAAGTAAGCTGTGGCATAGCTATTAAGTGTCAACTGTGTGGGAAGTAGCTGTCTATTTTCACCCATAGCCATATCCTTATTGTGTGAGAGACCAAGCATCCAATGCTCAAAGAATTCTAACATTTGGGAGATGACTTTGCCCCCCATTACAACGTAACAGTGATGGGAGAAACTCTCCCAATGGAATGTATAGCACTATACCTTATTATTTTACTAGGTTACTTGTTAGCCAGCTCTGTGAAATAGCTTTATTACAGCAAAGCCACCCAGTTGCATGATTGTGGCAATAAGCCTACAAAAGAGTACATGAAAGCAGTGAGACCTATGTGGGAAGGTTCAAGTCTGCTGTCTAAACCCAATGGGGTGCTTTGTAAGGCCAGTGGTAAAATATATAATACAAGTAACAAACTTTATAGATTTCATTATGTTCCCTGCACTAATGCTTTACTTCCAGCAGGTGGCTCATATATTCTAGGCAAAATTATAGCCAATGCTAAGTGATGGTTAGGCTAAATTGCCAATTGCTTGGCAATCGGTTGATTGGGGGCGGGTGGGTTCTATGATTGCTGTTCATGAGGGTAAGAGTCAGAGTTTGTTGTATTTATATCTGCCCTGACAGCACTTTTCATGAAGCACAGTACATTCACACATACAGAGATGGCTCTTATAAAAAAAACCCTCCCCATATGGCCAGTTTATGCTGTGGGTATTTGTAAAACTTGCAATTCCTTATCCAAGATGAAGGCTCGTGACCTACAGTGACTTGAAAAGCCTGAAGCGTCAAACACTCTCTGACAGGGCAGGAAGAAAGGACATTTGTTGACAACCCTGCTGAACGTTTTAGATTCAAGCCTTAAATGTTTGGGAATTTTAGAACTGGCATTTATGTAACAGGAAGTGAAACAACGTATTTATATTGACAAGATACGACACTCCTGTTGTTGCCATTTACAGATTTTATTACCGGAAATCTTAAAAGGTTTTAATAAGGCAAATAAATAAATAAGCAAGCAAAGTGTTCTTATAGCACCGTCTTGCAAATACACTTTAAAAATAAACAAGAGCTGAATGCACCTGAGATCTCGGAAATCAATAGGCTTTTCTGTGCAAAACTCCCTGTCGTAAATTGTGTCGTAAATGTGAATATAAATATATAAAAAAGACTAACTGGTAGGTCACTTGGAGGAGTCCAAGGTGGGAAGATAAGCTGATACTAAGAATATAAAAAGAGCCTGCTGGGTCAGGTCAATGGCCCATCAAGGCCCGCATCCTGTTCTCACAGTGACCAACCTTACTGACCCTACCAGATGTAACTGGAGCACTTTGATGCATGTGGGGTGGAGGAACCCCTCCCACCAAACCTTATCACGTATGGTCATATAAATGCTTCAAAACAATCCCTCTTTAACCTCCACAGGCAAACCTGAGTTGGCTCAGGTTAGTCCCAGCTTAATTGGCCTCAAGCCTATACAGTGGTACCTCGGGTTACAAACACTTCGGGTTACAGGCTCCACTAACCCGGAAGTAGTACCTCAGGTTAAAAACTTTACCTCAGGATGAGAACAGAAACTGTGCACCGGCGGCATGGCGGCAGCAGGAGGCCCCATTAGCTAAAGTGGTACCTCAGATTAAGAACGGTTTCGGGTTAAGAACAGACCTCCGGAACAAATTAAGTTCGTAACCAGAGGTACCACTGTAGTCAGAAACTGTACTGTGAAGGATATCATCAATGAATGCAAATAATACAGGAACCTATTTACTTACTTACTTACTTACTTACTTACTTACTTACTATACCGCTTTGTATTTTTAAGAAAAATCTCAAAGCAGTTTACTGCATATTAAACTAAACCTGACATGTTTAAACCTCCTTAATCTAGCAATTTAAATTGAATTATTACTGCAAATGGATCTCACTCAGATCTTCTGCCTGCTATACTCATTTCTCATTGCTGACATGAGGAGAGAAAGAGGCAAGAACAAAAGCGGAAAGGAAAGGAGGAAGAGATAGAAAGGGGCATATGAGAATAAGTTTGACAGGCAAGAGTCTGACAGGACAGCCATCTTTCATCTTCCCTTACACAGCAAGTGAGCAGAACACAAATCTCCCTAAGGCCGCTTGGGAAAGGTGCAATACTTTGTGAGTGCTGGATGATCGCTGGTTCAAGAAAAGCCCTGCCCCTTTGCCTCCACTGTTTGATTTCCACCTGCACAAGCAACGACAACAAATGCTGTTTGCCAGCTGGGACCTGTTCCCTGCCTCTGGGCTAAAAACATTCATTCTGAAAAAGTACTTCCAAGAGTGAGTGTCTGGAGTAAGGTAGGGTTGCCATATGTCCAGATTTTCCTGGAGATGTCCTCTTTTCAGGGTTAAAATTTCTGTCAGGGAGGATTTTTAAAATTTGGCAAAATGTCCGGGTTTGGGATTGAAGCAGCTAATTGCTGAGTGCCCTCCCTCATTTACATATGCAGCCCGAGTCTGTTGGAGCCGGACCAATCCGCACTTGTCCCCATGCATTATTCACAATCATAATTACTGAGCCCCATGTGCAAGGTGTGCAGCCGCCAGAGCACGCCGGGCACCCAGCACAGCCCCCCGCATCCCCCGCCACTACTTGGGCTGCTTGCACGGGTGCTTCGTGAGCTGGTCACCAGGAAGGAGTTGTTGGCACTGCTCTAATTTATTGGCGCCAAAATCAGGAGGAAGGGGTGGTTCACTAGACGCCACCAACTTGACTTTGCCCATGCTACCAAGTCCTCTTCCTCCTCCCACCACCTACCTAATAGCCCCTCCCCCCTCCAGTGCTCCACCTCTCACCAATGTCTCTGCAAAAAGTAGGCACCAGAAGATGCCTCAGTTAGCAGCATGTCTCGGTGATAGCAAGCCAAGCCCCAGCATCTCAGATCAGACGAGGAGAGTAGAAATGATCCCCTTGGGGAGGGAGGAGGCAGAAACTCAGTTCGTTGTGAAGAAAAGTTAAGCCGCTCAGCCCAAGTTTCTTCCAGCTTCCCTCTCTTACACACACATCTTCCCTCCATTCCCTCCCTTCCCACAAAGCCCTTTCTGGCCATGTTGTGTGTGCTCGGCCACTTGAATTATAGCTGGACTTCAAAGGCATTGACAGTAATGTTTAGCTTTTAAAAAGAGTAACAACAGAAACAACTACAGTAGATCTCCTCTTAATGTACTAGTCAATCAAGTCTTTGAACAAATCCATACCCCGAACGATATACTCTCAATTAATTCCTATTTGAATGAACTTCACACTTCAGAAAGTAAAGCTCTGGCCTGTGATGCAAGAACTCTGGCATGTGTCAGAATGCCTTCCCCATGCATTGTAACTGCAATGCATTGCTTTTAAGAAATTGCTTTTAAAAAATTGGCTGGCACCTTCAACTGAATTGAGCATGGATCTATATATATATATATATATGCAGGTTTTGGTGCATTTTCTGCATTCCTGTACCCGTGAAAATCTACGAAAGCATATATATATATATATATATATATATATATATATATATATGAGTTTTTATATGTTCTTTTAAACAAAGGGTAAGGAAGAAACAGAAGCCATGTAGCAGTACAGTTAGTGGACAATGAAACAGAAATGTAAATTTTTTTTAAAGGGACATTTATTAACATTTGTACTTCATGTTATGTCAATAGCTCATATATTTACTGGCCTGCTAAGCACACAGGGTATGAAAGGAGCATATACAAACCCTGTTGCAAAAATTATTTTGCACATTATATTGCATTGTGGCTTCTTTGCAGCAGCAGAAAGCACATGTGTCCAGGAATATCCAATTTTTGCTGTTTGCCCTCACCATATGCTAAACTGTTATGGAGGGTTCTCCAACCATAGGGAGAAGCTTTGGGTGGTTGGGGTAGGGGTGGGATAGTCACTAAGACACACAAGGGATCTAAGAAAAGTGTTGTACACTCGCATAAAACAACACATTGGATGCAACACACTATTATAATTTGATGCTCCTTGTTAAGCTTCCTACTGTCTCCTTCACCCATTTTTCTCATCTATTTATTGCTACTTTCTGAAAGTAGTATATAAAATGTCATAGGTGCAAAATATCTGGGTGATGGGGAGGGTTTTTATTTTGACTTCTCACCCTGTGCATCAAGAGTGAAGGTTCTCCAGGGGCTAAGGCTCAGAAGCTCAGAGCCTCATTGGCTGGCCGTACAATGATAGTATAGAATCACAGTGTAGAATCACAGGTTGAAAGGTACCTGGAGGATCAATTTAGTCCAATCCCCTGCAATGCAGGAATATCCAGCTGTCCCTTATGGGTATTGAACCTGCAACCCTGGCATTCTCAGCATCATGCTCTAGCAAACTAAGCTACCTGCTGCCATAGAGATGTCCTTTGCCAGTTGTCCTTCAGGATCAAGCCCTCTAGTACAAATACTGGAAACAACCCAATAGGTTTTTCAACTTATCTGCAGCAGAATATTTACTTGTGGTTTTTTGTCAGATTCTCAGCATACGAAGTCACGGCATGTGAACAATTCCAGTAGCCCATCAGTCCTACCTTTCTGTTTCAGACGCAGAGCCTTTCCTAGTCTGTTTTTGGGTGCTATATCTTTCCACCTTTCTGGGATGCCTGTGAAATGAGATGTCAAAAATGAAAAAAATGAAAAAAGGAAGGAAAGCATGTGATCCAGGAAATATATCACAGAAATTCAAGCAGATGGAAGGTTTTATGAATGGCTAGTAAATATGGAATTTGAATAAGAGAACTGCCAGCAACAACACACAACAAATGTATGATTATGAAGGCTTCACCAAGGACAGAAACAACAAGATTTAACCTATTTGATATCACTATTTGCAGCACTTTCACACCCACTTGCTCCTGAATGCTGTGAAATTTTAGAATTCACCCCAAAGTAATGTTAAATGTGGTAGGAAATGACATTATCTCTAGGTTAAAATGTGACAGGCTGCTTTTGCATCACACTTTCAAGTAACACAGATGGCAAACAATGCAGCCGATTAAATACTCCATGACAATAAAACTCTATTTTAATTAATCTGAGCTTAAGAATGTGAAAAATTTCCCCCTGTTTTAAATAACGTGATAAGATAAAGGCATCAGACTATAAATGCATTGATATTTCAATTGCTAAACCAATATAAAATTAATGAGTGTTTGAATCAAGCTTTTTTTAGTTTTTTCTCTAGGTTGGACATTATGGTGTTCTAGAGTCATATGTTCTAGAATACTCTTACCACAACATACAAATTAACTAGCTGTCAGATTGTAGCTCAATGGTATGGTGCAATGCTTTGCAAGCAAAAGGTCACAGATTCAATACCTAGCATCCTCAGGTAGGACTGGGAAAGTCCCCTAACTGAAATCCTGGAGCACCTCTGCCAATCAGTGTTGACAATGCTGAGCTAGATGGACCAATAGTCCATGTCGGTATAAACCAATTGTTCTCTGTTGCTTTTCTCATCTGAGATACCTTTTGTGTTTTCATAGTCACACAACCATCTACCAAGAAGCTATTTTCAGTGTACCAAGTTTTAGGACCACAAATTAATCAATACAATAATGTTTTACCATAGCATTTTAAAAGGCTTCTTGGTATTCTTGTCCAGGCATGGGATCAGAAACAATGTCTCAGTTTCATGGGCATTATCAAGACAAGCCCAATGTCATGAATTCTAAAAGCACCTAATGGCTTAGGAAAAGAGGAGGTATTGAAGAGCTCTTGGTAAATCTCTCTGTGAAAGTTTTGAAAAATTGACACGAATGAATTCTGGCTTGTAGAATTCAAAGTCTGATTTATGCCAAGGGGACAATTGGCAAAACATTCCCGTCTCCTTTATTCTCAAACCAGAGCAATCAAGTCTGCCATCAGTATGACATGGAAAAGAAGAAAAAACGCAGGGTTTGGAAGTTTGGAACACTTTTAAACAATGATTTGGGCCAAAGACACAGGCCCTGCTTATTTTATGTCCATCAGATCATCTAACTAATTCAGACTGACTATGAAAATCAAAATAGAGGCTTAAGCTATGGTAACATCTTTACTGAGCAAACACTGACTTTAACCCATTGTGCCTCAAGAGACTTAAAAAGACCAAACTTTATAACTAGTCCTGTCATGCCTTAGGTTGGTGCCTCAGACTCGCTATAGTCCTCAGACTCGCTATAGTCCAAGATTTCCAACATTTCCTGGGGTTCAGCTTTGGAGTAGCTACACGCTTGTTAGGTTGCCTTATCCCTTAGAATTATATCCATCATATAACGTGCCGGCTTCCCATCATATAACGTGCTTGACTAGTTAGTGATGGTTCCTTGTCCTCCATCTCAGGTCCATTTTGTTGTACATTGTCCTAGCCTAGTTCCCTCGTATTGGGTCTGAAATGACTCCTGGAACCTTTTGTTTATTGAATTTTGTTCTACACCCCAATTACTTTACATTCATGGAGACTTCTTCAAAAGGTCTGATGATGTCTGTCACTTACACTGCCCTCTACACATTTTCCCGTCTCCCAGAAATAGGTTCTTTTGGCAGTGTTTACATGACTTCTTGTGCCACATACAGTTTTTAAGACTGCAGTTCATATATAATGACTTTTCACATCATATATATATGTGTGTGTGTGTGTGTGTGTGTGTGTGTATTCCTGCTTCCTTGAACTAAATCTATTATTATACACTAACCCACCCCCCCAATTTAATATTATTCAAGGGAATGAGAAATAATGCCAAATAAGACTGGAATGACACAGAGCTACGAAGGTATGGCTTATCAAACACTACTTGGTATTTTATGCACAGCGAGTTTCAAGACAACTTAGCAAGATACCTCTGTGTTTCTTCCGGATTAGCACTTAGGAGGTTTAAGGTGTCTTGTTTTGGAATGCAAGACTCCAGCGCTGTTGTTCTTCACAAGATTTGGAAACATGGAAGTGAAAGTTGAACAGAATGGACAGAAACAGATAGAAACAGAGAGATGGTCACATGCAGTGAAGATGGAGACATGCATCAAGATATTTCTATGAACCAAGAACATTCCTCTTGTAGTACATCCAAGCAACACTTCTGATCTCTCCTTTTCAGTGTTTCAGAAATAGGAGTGTTGTTGTTTTTTATATAAAAAAATGTGACAATCCAACAATTGTAACAGAAAACATTAATAAAGGATAAAGACAGAAATAACAAACAATAGTTCATCTGCAGTGAATAAACTAAAGTTTGGCTTTACTATTTTCATTACTCCTGCTGATAATAGAACCAAATTTGTCCCCTTGAGGTGAATGTTTGCAAGGTTAGTGTTTGGATTTGTATTGGTCAAAATTACCTAAGAGTGCCAAATATTATATATAGATATTATTATTGTTTCCAGTAACTGCAGTACTTTGAGAGAAAGAATTCCAGTTATCTACTGCAGATCCCGTGCTTTTAGCTTAAGAACCAATTTATTATACTGGGTATATAGCAAAATTATTCTGATGCCAGCTTTATTAACTATTTCCCTGTCTTTGTTAAAGAAAACAGCCTTAGGCTGCCTTTCTGTGAGCAACTGTAAATCAGCGGATCACAATTTTAAAAACGTGAATCTCTAGCTTTTGCCTCCATTTTGCCTCCACATACATGTTTATCATTTCTTTGATAAAATTATTTCATGTGCAGTTACAAATACTAATAATTTCTGGATTATAATGAATGGGAATGCTGTCAAGATATGGCACACAGTATGGAGGAGGAGTGTGTAGAAAACCTAGCTATTTTAAATTATGGTTCAGTGACTTAATACATGCACATATACAGAGGACCTGTTACAAGCAATGAAAGAGAAAATGCTTATAATCTAAGAACAACATGACACTAACATTCAAATAAGAAAACCATAACAAAAATAACCACCACCACCAAATATATATCACATTTGGCCAATCAGCATATAAAGAGAAATCCACAAGCACTGAAATTGTTTGATGATTGCTATCTTGTAGAGAAAGCCTGCCCTTGGGATGTTTAGTTATGAGAAGATTAAATACACCAATTGCACAAAGTAAGTTATACTGTCGTGAACTGAACCGCCTGTGCCTTTTCAAAAGCTGCCCATAGGCCACAGTTTAATGGGCTGTTAAGCAGACATAAGATCACTGATTTAAATGAGCTGAAGGTTGCCTAACCGTATTGGGATTGTGGCCTTGAGGCACTCTGAACCCCTCTCACTGCCTGCTGAATTCAATACATGGCAGTGCAATCCTGTGGAAGTTTGCTCAGTTGGCAAGTCCCACTGTTGTTCAGTGGGGCTTACTCCCTAGTAAGCTGTGTTAAGGACTGCAGCTCAAGAGGGTTATAAAGCACCAATTTAAAATTCAAAATATGGCTGCCCACTTGCTGTTGAGAGAAGAGAGACACTGTGTGGAAGATTCTCTGCTATTGGAACTACCAGGAGCTAAAGAGAAAGAAGTGATGATTTGTTACACAGCATGAAAACCCACACAACTCATCTCAACTCCAGTATCCACTGGGCTACTGTAAGATTTATTGCTGCTTATTATCACCAGAACAATTCTGGGTCCTTCCCTCATATATGTACTTCACCTTCTTGCCGGAAACCCTGTATCTGGGATTCAAAAATATGCTGGCTCAAAACAGGCGGCTTCATGGTTTTGGATCTCTGTGTCCTGATGACACAGAGGAGGGGCACCTGTATGAATCATGGATATCTTCTTCCTTTACCCGATTCCATGGGCAGCCCACCACTCTGGGCAAGGCTAATTTGTCAACTAGGCAGCACATTTTTCAGCATTTGACTGCAAGGACATCAGAGGTGCTTTATAATAACGTGAGTAGAATTCAGGTATGAAATGCTTTCTAGTGTCCTATCCTAGATTCCTGGAAAATGTAATTTTAAAAAAAACACATGCCTTTGGAAACTTCTCGGCAAGATTCATCAAGTCACTTTTCACTTAGGAGGGGCTGGCTAGTACCTGTCATCCTCCGGAGATGCATGTTGGATTTGAATCCGGGGACTAGTGGGTCGGCTCCTATCTAGTGAGGGGGACCATCTACCTCTGTTTGTTCATCCAACAAAATAGGGAGAAAACAGAACATTTAGTGTATAATTTTTTTTTAAAAAAAAGCTTTTTGTGGCAAGGAAACTGAAAAGTACCCCAAAAAGTCAGCGTTTACTTTTTATCTATTTCGAGTAAGAAAAAGCGCCGTCATTATTTAGCTTGAATTTAGAGCCCCATTTTTGGCACATTTGCATAGCTGTACTATTGTGCTTTACACAGTACTGCAGTACTATGACTTTAAAAAAATAATCAGTAAAATAATGATATCATAGAGGCAACTGATGGCAGGAATTGTATCTTACGTATTTCAGATATCAGTGCCTTTTAAAACCCAGTATGCATTCTTAATGAAGTTTTAACTGGTACCAGATTAAATGCGAAATAAGGGTTTTTTCTTTATTCAATCAAATGAAAAATATTGAATGACCTCTGAGCGTGGATGGAATTTAAGCACCATGTTACACTGCTAGATACAAAATATGCCTTTGAAATGGTCCATTTCCCCCACAGCCCATGGTGTACAAATATATGCGTTCCTCTAGACCAGGGGAGCCTCTGTGGTGCACTCTAGTTGCTGTTAGACTCCAACTCCCATCATCCCTGAGCACTGGCCATGCTGGCTGGGGCTGATGGGAGTTGTAGTCCAACACCTAAAAGGCACCACATTGGGTATCCATGATCTAGAAAGTCTCATCTACTGTGACTGGCAGAAGAGTCAGTCACAGCACAACACACCCCCTTTCCCCCTCCTCCATAGATATATCTATATTACCTTGCTCTGTAATCCTTGTGTAGCCACAGCTAGTGGCTTTCCTACTTCTGGCATCTATAATTACAGGTTTATTTTTCTTAGTTTATTACTTTTCACAAAAAAGAAAACAAGGGATCTAGGCTTCAATCCTATACACACTTACCAGGGAGTAAGTCCCATTGTAGGCATGAATAGAATTGCATTGTAAAAGAAGCTGATATACATACATTAATCCGAGTGTCTCTGGAACTGGCAATAGGGAACTGGGAACTCTCTCCACCTTTTCGATAAGTACAGTTGTTCTAAGAGTTAAAAAGACTGATGCAGCAACTGCACAAACTGATAGAGCAATGTACTGAGTGCATCCTCCACACACAAAGGTTGCCAGGAGAAAGCATGGTGGTGAGAGCAGAAACTGAATTCTGGCCACTGTGGAGATGGATGAACTTTTGCTCCTCTCCTCTAGTTCCTATGATAATCAGGTTCATGTTGGGCCAGCATTTGTGGGTTGGTAGTGGTGCTCCAATGGCCAGCTTACGCTCATGCAGAATGAATCACATCACCTGTGCAACATACATAGGAAGCTGCCATGGGCTGGGGATAACAACAAAGCCCAAATGTCAGGAACTTGGTGGTTGTGTGAGTCACCCATCTATCCCAATCCAGTACTTCATTTTGCACATATTGCCAGTCAGCGTCATGCAAAGCAACCAGGGCTCTGGCAGTCTGGGTGGACTGGAGCCTGAATCCTTTCTCAAAGCATGCAGCATTTTCAACATATTCCTGGCAAATATTGCAAACTTCCATATTGGTCCCCAGCTATGACTTAATCTTTCTCCCAGGACAATAGCTTTTATTTAATCATTCAAGTTTTTTTCATTGTATGCAATTCAGTGAAATGTGCGCGAACGAATGCCATGTACCCTTTCAACAACTCTGTGTTGCGGGCTTGGCTGAGACAACAGCAAGGACATATTTAGAGACTCCGATCCAAAACACATTTACTAGGGAGCAAGCCCCACTGAGCACTGTGGGATTTGCTTCTAAGTAAACATGCTCATAATAGCACTGTGCACCTCCTTCATTCAAGCCCAATGCTCTGCTCCCTACCTCATTATTCCTGCATTATATATATATATATAATTTCTTCATATAGACGTATTGATAAATACACAGGAGTGTGTTTATGAAGTGTATCAGAAACTTCATGAGAGCTAATTTTCCATTTAGAAGAGGATGTGTGGAGAGGTGCTAGCAATCCTGATTTTCAACGAGATATGGAATCATTATTAAAAAGGCAAAATGCATGTTCTATTAGCAGTGTAACATTTAAAGCACCAGTTTCAGTTGTACTTTTTGAGGTACTTTTCTGTTCATTAAACATTGGGAGCAAGCAAACTACAAGGACTTCAGGGGGATTTAGCATTGCAGATTAGTACAGTCTTTTAGGTATTTAGATGTTTGGAAGGCTGTTAGTACGCAGCAGCTTTCCCCGCTCTATGCCAAGTGCTAAAGGAAAAAATATAAAGGTACCAGTGCACTCAAAGCCCTTAATATGCTGATATTCTATAGAAACATTTAAAATAATAGAAATAGAAATGTAATCAACTGCAAACATGCATTAAGAAATTTGGGGAAAAAATCTCACACAATATGTTTTAATGATGTGAAACGTACTGTACACACTAATGTGGAATAGCATGCAGCAATAGTTTTTGAGAGTTGAAAAGAATGGTAAGAACATAAGAAATCATAGCAGACTGTGCAACTAGTAGATGCACCTGCTCTACTCTAAGGAAACTGCATCCAATACATTCACAGAGTATCCAACATACCATGCAGTATTGACAGAATTGGAAACTAAGTTCTGGTCATGTTGAAGAGCTCTAAAAAGTTTGAGCAGGAAGCAACTTCCAGTAACTCCCATTAATATTATTTATATGCCTAGGTTTCCCCAGCCACTCTGGGCGGCTTCCAACGGATTAAAACATCAACCGCAGTAAAACAAAATTAGATGGCAAAGACATCTAATTTGCACTGAGCACTGAGGATCAGGGAGGGAAGCTTTTGGCTTCCTTATAAACTCAAAAGATAATGGGTGTTATTTGACCAAGTTTTACACAGTATAAACCCATTGAAATTAAGAGACATAACATAGTCAATGGCTCTACTGTAAGTAAAACTTAGCTAAACACCACTCCAAGAAAATAGAGACTGGGGGAAGGCACACCAAAGCATGCTTTTGCACTTGGGATGTGGGGATTTCCTGACGATTGGTCAGACATGTATTGGGGATGACACAGCTCATGCCCCACTCTTAAAGCTTAGTTTCCCTGGGGTTTCCCACAATCCTGTCAGTCTTAACAATGTTTACTTAGCTCTGTCTGAACTGTGGTTAGTATCCAGCACTAGAACAAAAATCTAGATAACATTTTGAGGGGGCAGCTAATAATGATAAGGCAAACATTACAAATCAACAGAGTGCTCTTAAAATCAATCCAGCATTCTCCAATAATTCTTGCTCTTGCTGACCCCATTTCAAATTTGGCTCGCCCACCACTGGTTCAGGATGTGGTGGCTTTCCTTCTGACAGGGTGGGAAGAAGCTGAGAGTAAGTACATCTTCAGCATCTGTCTTGGCTTCCTATATTGTTTTTGGAAACACATTCATCTTGCTCCCCATATAACCATCGTGTTGCAAATCTTCATGTCCAAGTTTTACTATCGCATGGAATGAATACAACACCATCTGGATTTCCATGCCTACTCCTACAACAACAGCAATACATCCATTTGCTCTTTCTTTGTAGTAAAGATGTCAATTCAGTATGTTCAGCCAAGTGCTGACTGCCATCTGCATTGACCCATTGCCATATAGGGTAATAGACAGAGGTCTATAGTGCTGCCTTTAATAGAAACAGGAGCCTGACTGCCAGTGTCACCAATCCATGTGAGCATATAAGAACGCAGCTTTGCTAAATTTAAGCTGTGCAGTTACCGTGCTACATACAAACTAGTGAAGCTGCAAGGTTTGGTTTATATAATGTATAAAACTGATACAATGCTTTGCAGCCAGGATAAAGCAACTCGGCTAACACTGCAGAATGTCTTTGATCTATTATAATAGCCTGTTCAGCTTGCACCATTTGCTCCAACATATGATGGGATGGCTAGAAGAAAGGATGAATGGATGGGAGTGTTGTGTGACAGCTTCTTCACCAAACTGCCACACTTAGGATACATGTCTGAACTGGACCTAGGAATCAGGTGGGAATCCAGATCAGGAATTCCATAATTTTACAGTCACATTCAAAAACCTAAATAGTGAGGATATACCCATTAGGGATGCAGTAACCAACATGTTGCCCTCAAGATGTTTGGCTTCTGCTGACAGGACTCATTTGTTAAATCCTGCCCACTATACCCTGCCTTTGTTCCCTCCAAAGACTTCCAATGCCTGGAACAGGGCATTCAGGTATTGTAGCCTTATTTTGAGTAAGGGCATGTTTTCTCACATTTGCCAGTTGGGGTACATACTGAGTCTACTCTTCCACATGTCACTAGTGCAGGCTACCGCTATATATAAAGAATTCTCTTTCTTCTTCTTCGGTGTGTGAAATGAAGAGGCACCCAAAGCAGAACAAGAGTAGCAGGAAACCCTAATTCCCACCTTATCGGGGGAGTCCTTTGTTGCCTTCAAAAGGTTGGCATGAGATGAACAATCAGGGCAAGGTTTATAGGTTCTCCCTTTTCCTGAGTTTAGTTCTTGCACTTACATTGGCCACCAGGAAAAAAATGGGGGTTGTGAGAAGGGATCCTTATGAAGTGGCTTTGTAGCTGAAATGTGAATCAGTTCAAGTGGGATAATGTTTGCAACTTATACCCCCCAAACCAGGAGTGTAGCTAACTTTTCCTTTAGCCCAGGGTCCACATTCACCCTTCACCGATGCATGGGAGCACAGGGACAATGCCAGCAGTGTGTGTGGACTCTCCCCACTCTCCCATGCATGTGTGTGTGTGTGTGTGTGTGTGTGTGTGTGCGCACACACACACACACACACACAGGACATACAGTCTGTCCTCAGCTAATCTGTGAGGACAGCTGAGAAAGGAAAGCTATCACCACCGTTCTACTCAAAAGATCAATTAAATGAACAGGGAGGAGATGATATGTATCCTCAACAAGGCACTGGGCTTTGCCCACACAAGCACATTATCCACTCTTTCTTTCTTTTTTTACTTTCTTTTCCCCCCTGCTGCTGTCATAAAAAGCAGTGAGATCTGGGACCAGAATGGCAGGAAGCAAAAATTGGTCAGGTCAGATCACCCCTGCTCCAAACCACTACAGCACACCAGCTCTCATCCATGGACACAAATCAACATGAGAAGTTTAGTACAACTGAATCTTCAAAAATGCTTTTTGCGAGTGTGCACACACATGAAATAAAATGGTATTTTCCAGGCCTTGGCATAAATGTGGGTGGCTTGCCAGTGTTTGATCATCAGTGCTCTCTTGTTGCTCTTGTTTTTAAGCACCTATTGAATTCTTGCCAGTGGCTCTGGTAGATGCTGACACTGCAAAAAAAACAGATCTTCAAAGAGCAAAGGCTGGCTGAATGCCACTCTTCATTATTCACTTGCACAAGCATCTTACTGCCTTCCCATACCCCTGGCAAGCAAAAACAGCACCTTTGCTTGCTCTCAATAAATCTAGGTGCTGGGGTTTTTAATTTTACTGGTGTCCTTATTGTATGGCTAGGAAAAAGAAAAGATTGCATTCATAGTCAAACTCTTTCTCTAATGAACCCAAGAGCGGCTTGCAGATGGTTCCCAGGAAGTATCTCATCTAGGCAGGAACCACTTCAGGTGCCTTCAGACCAATCTTAATCACATGCATGTTGGCCTATTGAGAATTTCATGACAAAACCTGCTTTCTTCTACATTCAGTGTTTGCAGGACAAATAACTCAAGGCACACTATCTATATCTATCTCTAGTTATGAAGAAATACTGTTGAATTCAAATACTTCCATACAGAGCCACAATCACATCTGACAATGATTCCGACCAATAGTGTTTGATTACAAAAAGTATCTTTAAACTGTTTTTGGGGGTGGGGAATGTTTTCAAACATTTCAAACTGAGCTCTATTATTATTTTTTAAGGAAAAACAACGTGAAACACAATGAATCCAATCCCACAGTGTTTGAACCCAGCAATTAGAGTGGCACATAGGTAGAAAGGAAATGAAAAGCGTGCCAATCAGCTGTTGGGGTGCGATTCTGCTACCCACACTCACCCTCCTGAATCAGCAAGATTCCAGCCTCCTTTACAGGGAAAATTTGCTGAATAAGAAGGAATTGCAAGTGAAATATTACATCTGGTATGGTTCATGGATGTTGATAACCAAGTGAAAACAACAGAGTCTTGCAGCTCCTTGAAGATGAACAATTTATTTATTTTGTCATTTATTGTGACAAAAGCTCCCATGTGCTAGAGCCCACATGTTCAGATGAAGAAAAGATAAAAGTGGTGCTCAGTTAAACTATCTCAATTAACACTGAAACGTTGTTATCAGCATACTGAGGACTTCTGCAAACAATGGCATTAGCTTGGACTTTAAAGTGAGACAGAGACAGAGAGACAGACAGACAGAGAACCAAAGAAGCCAAAAGCTGCTATAAGCAACATCAACCTACAATAAGCATGGATATTGGAGCAAAAGTGTCTACAAATATCAAAGCAGATATGAATAATAACAGGTGGATATGAATAGAAAACTGATATGGGGGAAAATAACAAACTGATAAGGACCACCAGCACAAATGACAAGAAATTGAGAAGTCTTTATTTTATACCTTTCTTGTTCTGGTGAATGCAAACTAGTATCAGGCCTCAAGCAGTTGGTACTAGCACTCCTAGCCCTGTCAAGCGAGGGCTGCAGTTCACTAGTGCCAGTGCATTGCATCCAATGGAAGGAGGAGGAGAAAAACAAAAAGAAAACAAAGAAAGGAATACAATGTTAGATATCAAATCATAAAGTAATGTTCTATTTACATAAGATGTCAACTAACAATGGTCCAATAAAGATACAATGGAACTGGCTGGATGAAAAAAAGAGAGAGAGAGAGCCGAGATTTGCTTTAAAATAAAATTAAAAAGATAATGCCTGAATTTGGTTGCATAAAAGAACAAAGGAATCAAAGGTGGCCATTAAGAGATTCCATGAAGTCAACTCAAGATGGATTAAATAGGCAAGACTGCACCTCAGCAGTGGAAAATCGAGACTTGTCAAATATCAACCAATGGGAAAAATGGGAAGGAAACACTGAAAAATTATCTCTGTAACTTATTTCATCTTAAAAGTTCTATAACACAAAATGATGGAGCACAGTTGTCTCGAACTTCACAATGAGGTTGATCTATTGGACTAAACTAACAGGAATAGGAAAGGATACTTTGACTGAGACCTTACCTAACCAACAGACCATCAGTAAATCTTGGTATTCGTGAGTTAAGGCAATTACGAAGAAGTGAAATATCCTGACTAAGCACTGATTTGGCCTTAACACATGCAGGCAGGGTTGAGCTTCACAAAGTAAACATAATTCATAAAAGAGAAAAAAAAGTAAGTTTCACACAGAATGCAAACCACGCGTTTAAAAAAGAAATAAAATATGTAGTGAATTTAAATAAAAATACTGATTTTTAAAGTGGGGTTTAAGCAGCAGGGATTCGGAAGATAAGGCCATAACAACTATTATGTTCAGTGGGGCATACACCCTAGTAAACATGTGTAGGTCTGCAACTTTAGCCTCCTTTCATTTCTTAGATAAATTGGGAACATTTGCTTTGCACCAGATATTATGATGATAATGCGATCAAGCTGCATTTTCGGTGTTTTGGTTGGGAGAGGTTCATTTTATAATACAGTATATGCCGATAAATGATTCTTAGTAAGAAACAGCTCCAATATTTTATTTTTCTTGAATGCATATTTTCAGAAATGTATGTGAGAACTTTAATGGGAACTTTTAACAGATTTCTTACCTGTAAATATTCCAGTAAGTGCCATTCTCTAATAAAGGCATCTTGGGAGGTAGTGTTTTATAATGCCTAACAGAATTTCTTGAGTGTGAAAGAAAAGAAAAGAAATGGAGAGTGTCCATGCATGCAAGAAACAAAACAAAACAAAACAAATAAATAACTAAATAAATAAATGCAAATACAGATGAAGCAGTACTTAATGAAAGGTAAAAATAGTAACAATTCTTATGCAGTATTTGCTGTGTGGTTAACAATTGCCACTACTACTAAGGATAATTTTAGTAATGTTATAATGTTAAGAATCTATGTAAGGTGTGCTGAAACAAGAGGTTGTAAAGCAGCAGTCTACAGACAACTGAACTCTACAACTTCTTCAGGAGGGTTTTCCCCCCTCTCTCTCATTACCAGAACATTCTTGTACTAGTATAACACTACAGCTAGTATCACCTATTTTGTGAACGATCTAGTGCTGGTCGTATACCATTAGTCAGAATGAGGCAGCTCAGGCAGCTGATTTTGTACATTACGAAAGGGTAGCAAATTGTTAAGGAATTTAGCATTGTATTTTTACTCCCAGGGAGAAGTGCTTGCGGGATTTTATGTGTCTGGTGCCTTAGGTACTATGCTTGCTCCTTTACTTCTGAGGAGGCGGGGAAGGTAACTTGTGGCCCCTCTAAGGCAGCACCTTGGTAAGGATTTAAGGAGCCCCTTTAAGCATGGCTAGCAAAGGGAGATTTTTAACTTTCTTTTCTTTGAAAAGCAGGGTCCTATGCTATATCACAAACTACTTTTGGAAGTATGTGCTGGCTAATAATGGAATATCTTATGGACGGTGCTTTAACATTTAACAGATTTCATCACAGCTTAAAGTGTGTTGGAAGCTAGGTGCTCTAGTCTCTACAGCCCTGTGTGTACTCATACTGAGTTTCTGTAATAGCAGCCTCCCCAGACCACTTTCACAGACAAGAGAAGCGTCATGTATATTTGCTTGTTCCCTTTGCTAAAATGAGAGGGGAGGCCCTTGAAGGAGTTCTGTGTATGTATCGCCATGCCCTCAAAGACCCTTAGCAAGTGAGGGGGGTTAATTATAAGTACTTAATGCGATCAGTAGGTGAAAGACACAAAACAAATTATGAAAACACAAATTTTTAAAAAGGAAAAATTAATAAACACAGTGCAAAACTGATACCACTGCCATACATTGGAAGACCTTTTGCAACATTTCTTGAATAATTCCATTCAATGGATGGTATCCAACTGATGTCCCATCACATTACATCAGTGTAATGAGGATAGATGCAATTTTTGGTGATTCCTCCACCTCTCTGCACCCCACAAAATCCAGAACGCATTCCCACCCTCCCTTTTCTGTCTTCATCAGCAGAGGGACACCAGTTGGTGTGTATGAATGTTCAACTTCTAAACATTAAACTTCTCAGTAACTTAATCTCTATGATCCAGACACTGCGAGGCATATGAATATATAAAATATGTATAAAAAGCCACAGGTCTGGGTACATTGGGCTCACTATAATCCTATCCACTGAAAGATAGGATAAACATATATCAACAAATGTTTAAAAATAATCAAGCAGCTAGACCATAGCCTTTTACTTCAATACAGTATTGCTAATACAGGAATATTACAGCAGAGGACTGACAGAAACAAAAATGACTTGTAAAAGAAAAGAAAACACACACACACACCAGAACTATCCAAACTTGGTTACCAAATGCCTGTATTTACCTGGTGGTATGTAGGCACTCTGCACTTCTTCCTCGTTTTGCCCTGGGCAGCATTAGAAGCTCACTGCACAGACAGGATGGATGATGAATGAAACAGATATAAATATGAAGCATTAAATGGCATGAATTATGCCATGGTATGCAAATGAAAACATAAAATAAACCAGAAAGCTTGAACTGAGATAGTTACCTCAACAGAAGTTAAAGACATATTAGCACACTCCATATATATTTGACTGTCTGGGCCAGTATTCTAAAATAAAGGCTACAATCTTTTAGTTTGGCTGATTAACATGTATTCACTGCAACAGATTTTAAAGCAGTTTAACTCCGCAGTCTTTTAATATCTGGAACGTTTCTTAATTCACAGCTGACCGGCTTCCCTGTTATTCTGCATTTCTAAATAGAAGCAACTAAAATAAACTGTTCATGAACGTAAGACAATATGCTTATAGTAAGGAAATATTGAAGAAAACGAGTTTTATCTTCCAAATCAAAAAACTGTGGAAGTTCAAGCCATAGCAACACTACAAGTTTCCTCTAATCTATTCATAAACATAATGATGCCTTTGAACATTTGTTTGTAAACACAAAAACTTATTATTATTATTATCATTATTGTTGTTATTATTACTTTGTCACCACACATCCTGAATATGTCCTCAATGTACATTATAGCATTCTAATTCAGACCTGTGGCTCTCCACTGTAAGGAGCTATACATTACAGGCAACAGTGAAATAACTGCAGAGAGAAAGGTGCAGCATGTAGCACGAGTTTTAACAAGACGTGTACATGCTGTGGGACCACTAGGGCAAGACTTTCAGGCAGAAGTCAACAGCACCACTCAGGAGAAAGACCAGGAGGACCCCCAAATGAAGCAAGGTTGGCATGTCATGTTTTGAAGTGATGAGGGGGAGGTCTGTAAGACCATTAAGTCAATTAAGTAAAACTACCAAACCATATCACTGTGTACTTGCATTCTGCCCAAACACAAATCACAGAGATAAATTTCCAAGGTTCACCAGAGTAAAGTATATTTGCTGCTCAGGAAGATGTACCATTTCAAAAGAACCAAATAGTCATATGAAATACTATGGTTTAAACCAGTGCTCTCCCCCCCTTAAAAACATGTTTAGTGGTACTCTCATTTTCCTACTGATATTGAAATACTGCCCCTCAAGCAGGCCAAACTTAGATTCACAAAATGTTCAGGGGTATGTGAATCCTGCGTCCCCCAGAAAAAGCACTGGTTTAAACATTATGCAAACTGGTCAACATGTGAGCCATGTGTTGTCCTATTGTCACAATAGCATACATTTCATTGGGGATTGATCAGTAACGTCATAAGAAATAATCCTGTATAAAAAAGCCTTAACTATCTGGTGGAATGTTGCCTAACAGAGTCCTACTAACATTATAGGATTCTGGTGCAACATACCACACACAAAAGAGGCCTAACATCCCACATGCAAAACTGGAATTCAACAGGGCAGGTTAAAGAATAATGGAATACTTTGTAAACTAATGAACCATTGAATTCATTGGTACTAGCTCAAGAAAGCTTCTTAGAAATTAGAGCTTATTCACCAATGTTATTAATTTGCTTCACCCATGAATCTGAAGGTGTCAGGGGCTCACACTTCCTGAACCCCCTCCTTTGAAGAATCTTATGCTGCCAGTAGGACTTATGCTGCCAGTCTGAATGACTTTTTTTTTTAAAGCTGCAGCAGCATTTGTCATCTCACCCAGGAGACAGGAGAGGTGAATGAGAAAGCACTGTCTCCGGTTTAGAAGGGAAAGTTAGGACTGTACGTGGATATCATGGGTGCTGTATGTTTTCATAGGAAACATGAAAGAAAGAGTGAGATAGTGAGGGAACAACTGTGAATGTGAGAGCAGGAAGCTGAGGTGTGTTTGAAGTGTCTGGTCGTCTTTATGATGGACTGAGCCTCCGTGTCCTGCCTGATTAACTACAAATGTGCCAGCATATACCACACTATGTCCACAGAATTATAACTCTGGACCACCCTAACATACAAATAAGAGAGGGTGGAGACAATAGAATTACCAGCAATAAAGGAGAAGCAAGCTATACTGAAGAAGAACCAAGATCCAAATTTGGATGAGTGGAAACAGAATGAAAGCATTTGTCTAATTTCAGTGATAGCCAAGGGTTAAATTCTAACTCAAGACGAATGTTGGCCCCCACGAATGATATGAGGCACCCAACACATTGTGTCGAATTCCTCGCAAGTCAACATTCAGTCCTCTCCTCCCGCTTCTAAACTGGATCATTCTGAGGTCTACTATAGCCAGGGTGTGGGTCTGTGTGCATGTAATCTTTTGATTAAAATAAGGTTAAAAAACCTGCAAGATAATTTTCAAAATACTTTTTTGTTAACACAAGTGAAAAGTTAAATTCTGGCAATCTAGCACAAGTAAATGGGTAGATACTGTCCCTGCTTTAAAATAACTAGGTAAGCGAGGCATCTTTCCCATCCCAAATTCCACCACGGGTGAGAGACAATTAACCCAGCTGTCTATATCCTCAAAGTTGACAGCTTCTAGTTCTGAATGGTCAGAGCAGAATGTATGGCTATGCTATGCTCTGGTTCACTGAAGAATGAAAGGAATAATAGGGACATACAGTACACTATTCGACTAGTAGATATGGTTGGCATAGGAAGGCCCAGCACCTCAAATAGATGCAACTTATTGCATTACAGAAATGTGTGGTCTTTCTATATCTGCAATAACATCTTTGTCCTCACGGAATTAAAATGGTTCAACATTAACCACCCTAGTCCATGGTAACGTTTGCAACAGAATCAAAATTTACTTTTGCAAGTGCAAAGTCACAAGAACAAAGCTCTTACTAAATGAAGCAAGATTCCTGTTTTGTCTTCTTAAAAAAAATGCTACTCACCATATTTGCACTGTGAACATAAAATCAATTATTTTTAATGAGACTCCACTACTGATTAGAATAATGCTTCTTATTTGATTACTGTCAGACTATTTCCCACCTCGTAGTCCAGACAATATAAAGCTCATAGTTCTAAACAGTATAAAGCACATTTCAACACCAGCAAAAATATATATTTTAAAATGTACAGATATACTACAGATTCACACTCTTAAAGTGGCAAACATACCTTTCTTGATCTGACAAATACTGACTATCCATATCTCTGGACCTGCGGTCAACTGGGCTTCGGGAGGCATCATGGTGTCTAGTTGGAGAACGTGATCTTCTCATTTGATGAATTTCATCTAAACTCCTGGAAATGTTCATAGAAGCACACATGTGTTTGACCATGTTTTTTCTTATCATATCACTGTTTAATCAAGGTTTCCCAGACATTTAACAGGAATGGTCAAGGCTGATGAATTGGAAGCAAGTCCTCCCCACCCCAACACCAATGGAGGAATACCCAAAAAGTGATGCAAAAAATCCACATGGCCAGAAAGAACTGTGAGAGGGAAATTATAGCTCTGCCTGCTTTTGAGCATAGAAAGAACCATGAGCAGGAAATTATATTCCTTCCTGGTTAGCAATTTTCATTCTCTACTGTGTTCTATGCCATTAAGAAAATAACTGAGCTGCTGTTTCTGGACAGCCTAATCATCTGTATCAAGAAACTATAAATCCCTTTCAGTTACTATACCAAAAGAACTATACAAAGCCTCATTTTATGCTATGGTTAGCCTTATATGCCAGGTATTACAGGCAATAACAATGTATTTGTTCCTGTTCCTGTGAGAACCAGCCCGTTAGAATACATTTATTTCCTTTTTATTCTGTGCTTCCCCCCAAGAGTTGAGGAGGTTTTTATTCTTCCTGCCCCACTAAGTTGCCCAGTTTACTTTCCACAATCCTGTGGCACAGGCTAGGCTGACAGACAGGGAATGATGCAAGGCCATCCAAAGAGCTTTGACAGCTAAGAGGGAATTCTCAGTCTAAGTCCAACACACTATCCACTACACCAAACTGGCCTCCGTGGATGCATGCATAAAAACATCAACACCCATACACCATGTACATGGTGGCTGGTGTATGCCCTTGCTTTTCATAGTGACACAGACTATCTGTCTGCAGTGTTTGTGACTTATGAGTAAACAAGGTGGGAGACAAGGAGGAGAAAGGATGGAAGTTGTGACAACTGACTTCTTAAAGATGTTTTTAGGAAAGGTGAGAGGGGAAAATTTAAGCCTATGTCTTGCAAATACTAAGCTGTCACTTAAGAGTAATTAGTAGTAATTAACAGTTAATATTAATACAGAGGATAGTGAGCTGTACAAAACATCCCCTTGTGTAGTCGTTTCTTTGATTTGTGCAATACAGGATTGCTTCATGGTGGTGAGCTGTCTGGAGAAACCTGCCGTGTTTGGAAACCTAGTATTAGGTACGCTACAACACAAATCCAGCTAAATGTGATGGTTTGTGTGGATTTTCTTTTAGTTGCTAGAAGACTATAGATGCTCACACTGATTTATATTCTTAAAAAAGAGAGTAGTCTACAATACTAAATAGCTTTTGCCATAAAAGAAACTGATAAGCAGCAGAACTTTCTGATAATTTTTTTATCTGATTTATAATCTATTGTTTATCTAACTGTCTATCAGTTTCTCTCCTTAGCTCCCCAATATGCTGGTAAATATCAGAGTCCACACCCTTTTCCTTTAAGTATTTGTCTTCCATAATATCCAACTTCACTGGAATTTTGCTAAGTTATTTCCTACTTCCTTTTGTTGTGACATGATCTTTCCCTCCTCTTCTGTACAAGGGATAGTCAACATTGTGTCTTTCGAATGTTGTTGGACTATAACTTCCATAATCCCTGACCAATGGCCATGCCAACTATAGTTTATAAGATTTATAGTCCAACATCTAGAGGGCACCAGGTTGGCTCCCTCTGCCATCTGTCAAACTATTCCCTCTCATTTTCACCAGGGTATGAAAACATACCTAAACATCTCCCCTCCTCAGCAGCTCACTTCTTTCCATTCTTCCTTATCCATTTTCTTTTCAAAACTACAAGGCAGAGCACAGGGTCTTCTTTGTCTGGCTACCCTAGAGATCTCCTTTGTTCCATGAAAATGGGGGAAATATCATTGGTAGCTTAAAGTGAAATGCCCATTTATCTCTTAATAGAATCATCTTTTTAGACTGAAGAGCTGCTTTTCTTTCTGTTATGCTTTCACATTCTCCACAAACTCACTAAGGAAAACTCAACATTTAGTATTTCCTTAAGACAGCTGCACAATTAATCAAGGAGCCTCTGCATGGCAGACACATGGCTCACCCTGGAGGCAGTTGTTGTAGTGTGGAAGTGACCATGCAGGGGTTTCATGTGCAGCTGCCCAAGGAAAACATCACCTTCACATTTCTTTAATCACAATGGAGACAATCCGGCCAAAGTTAAGCACTTTTCAAAGTTCTCTCGATTTGAGCAGGAGAGTCTTAAGCACACATGTTAACAACTCTCCCAACTATAATAAATGGAACTGAAAAGTGCTCGGCTTTGGCTGGAGTCTGCCCAATGTGTGTTGATGATGAAAGCAGCTATATTTTGAAGCCTACCTCTGTAATGGCACATTTGGTAAACGAGAACGGGTCCTGCCCTGATCGTCACCACGGTGAGGAGATACAGATCGTGAACGATGATGGGTTGTTCTTTGCTGTTCTGGCACAGTTAACGTTGTAGATTTACTTTCTCTAGTGCTAGACCTATAGCCTACTGGTAGAAGTGCAACAAAATGAAGTTAGTTCAGGTCAGAAATGGCAAGTGTTCATATCTGGACTAGTCTTTTCAGGAAAACATCTCTTTATTGATTACAAGATTTTCAGAGTTGTGCAACTTGTGAAAATCCTGAAATGTCATGCAATCAGGGCTAACAATTAGCATTATATTTAAATGTAATGCGAATATGGGGGGAAAGGTACAGACATACATACAGGAGAATTTACGTGCAAGACTGCAAAATTCCCAAAGGTGAGAAAGTGAATAGGAGCAGAAATAATACCTACAGGGTTAGGTATTATTTGCCACAAGCGTCACTTTTTCAGCTCTTCAGTCTTTTTAAATGAAATCTATGCATCTGTGGCTGCAATACTGAAACAAACTGATTTATTCAATTCATCCAGTCTATGGAATTGCTTATGAGTAAATTGTTTTAGAATTGAAGCCTCTGTTTCAGTTTCATTTAAATTATCTGCTGACATGAGTATGGTACACAAGTCATTTGACCCAACGTTGCTTCATATAAAATGATCCACAGAACTTGCTTTACATTCAAGGAAACATAAAGATGTCACTACCAATTATTGTTAGCCAGAGGCCCAACACCACAGAACAAAGCTGGATAGGCAAAAAGAACCAAGTCTAGAGAAAGGTACCCATATGCCATCAAGTTAAAAAACTATTTTATTAGCTAAGAGCCGAAGGCAAACACAGATTATACTTTCCATTTAGGTAGTAAAACCCACCCATAGTTTAATATTGGAAGTAACATTTTGTCTTCCTGTAGTGGGGTGGGGGACACACACCGCTGAACTGCACAGAAAACCCTCTTCTTCCAGAAGATGAAAAGGCCCCCATTCAATAGTCAAACTTCCCCGAGAGAAAAAAGGCCAGTTATTTTAAATCAGGGATTAGCAATGTGGCGCCCTCCAGACGTTATTTAACTATGACTCCCATCAGCCCCTCACAGCTTGACCAAAAGGCAGTGATGATGGGTGTTAGAGGTTAGCAGTATCTGGGGGGGGGGCCCTCATGGATTACCCCTGTATTAAATGAAGTCCCTCAGACCAAGTTGATAGCATGACAAGAAAGCAGCAGCTCAAGCTCTTTAAATTAGCCCCCTTTAGTTAGAAGAAAAGCTACATGAAGGATCCATAGGGGACTTCGGATTTGAGGCAGGAAACAAGGGAGATTAACAGGGAACCATTCTGAAGATGTATACATCCAAAGCATATGGCATGCACCTCTCTTGTAATTTTTGTGTGACAGCTATGTGGAATGGAAGATGCAGTGCGTTGTGTGTAGAAAACTTGCTGAGAATGACCAGGACGGGAGGGGCACCCTCCCACAGTTTCAATTACTCTGACGTTAATTGAACCGCATTCTTATCTTGGAGAAAACCAGGGATTCACACACATACACAGAAAACCTAAGTACAGAAAAAGGAAACTGTATGTTTCTTTCATTAAAAGTCACTAATAAACTCCCTAGGGGCATTGGTACTCAGTTAGTCAGTAAAATATAAAACAACGTTCAAATTTTTCAGGTCCCGCTGTTGAAGCTAATGGGGTAATTTATGCAGTTGTGCTCAAGTACTGTTCCAGAAAAATTGTCAAAAGTGGCCTAAGTTACTATTTTTGTCATCCTTCTTGAATCTCTAGTTGAAGAGAACTTCACTGCCATCTTTAATGTGATTAGCAACTCTTGTCAGTAATATTAAAATGAGTTTGTAGACATAGGCAAACTACATCATACTAGACATGTCATGTTCAAAGAAGTATGTGTATGTATATGTATGTATATATATATATATGTGTGTGTGTGTGTGTGTGTGTTTTATATATATATACACACACACACTAGTCAAGATTAAATTGGCCGCAATACTAGACAACCATAGTAAAGATGGAAGGCTTTTGAAAATTAGTACTGCAGCTGATCACCAAAATATTTTAACAATTCAAGCTGCTTTTCTTGTTCAGGCAGGTGATTGGCAGGAGAAGAAATATTCTCAGAACCTGCAGCACTGTTGAGCAATTTTTATCTTTGTCTCTGTGTAACAACTGAGAGTCTCCCTCTATGCACACATTTTGGATAATGATAACTTGTGAGTGCTTATGAGAATTATAAAAGATATAGCCATGCTTCATGCACTTAATATACAGTCATGCATTTTCAATATATTCCATGGTGAACCTGTCTAAGATATAAGCAAGAGCAAATGCATCAAATGGACAATATGTTTCAGTTAGACATTTTAATTACATATTTTTTTTGCATTTTTTCTTATGCACAGAAAAATAGCTTCGAAAAGCAGCCTCTACCCTTAGAACATCCACAATTTTATTAGCTGTATAAACAGAAATATCAAGATTGCCATGCCACTGTTGCTGTTGCTTTTTATTATTGATTTTTGTTAGATTTTATTGTGTTTTAAACTGCTGTAAGGAACCCTGATGCAGTAGAAAGGCAGGATATAAACATTTCTTATTAATGCATAATACATAAATGCAATTAATACACAATACAGATTTTTAAAAAAGGTTCACCATGGAATAAAGAATCAAACTACTTTCTAGAAAACATAATCTCCCAATTCATCATCTTTGAAAACTCTAGAAAACCAAACTGGAAGGGGAAAGGAAGAAGCAAAAGCAAAGGATGTAGGACCATGCTCTTCGCCCACGCACCTGAAGGAACTACTCCAATACCATCATCAACATCATAATCTGAGATGTCACTATCACTGATTCGCTGAGATCCTGTGCAACAGTAAGGCAAATAGATACCTGTATACTTGGTTCTTTTGTAAAGGGCAGAAATAAGTTTAAGTAAAGATTCTTGTCATTATGGAGAGTCAAATATGGGATGCATTCATATTTAAAAACAAGATTATATATATATATATATTTTAAAAACTATTGTAAAATGGCTCAGAGACATAGTACCTGGGTAACGGCACCAGTCCCAAGTATACTTACTGCAACTTCTGTTGAAATAAAAAAACCCGTGCCAGCCTGGATAAGTAGGCCGACATTATCTACAGCAGTGCAAACAGTAACTTGCATAGCTGTGGAAAAATGTAATTAAATGCCTGCCATGAGGTGCAGAACTTGACTGCTCTGCCTCACATACCAGTGCAACATTGTCTTACTAAAATGATCCATAAGGTTGTGGGTTCATATTATCCAGCAACCGGCACCATATTGTGTCAGAGGCTGTTAAGAGAACAGCATGCTGGATCAGGCCCATCTAGTCGAGCATCCCTTTTCCACAGTGGCCAACCAGATGTTTACAGGGAGCCTGCAAGCAGGAACCTATCACAAGAAGGACGCTGCTCTTGTAGTTTCCAGCAACTTGTATGTAAGCCCGCCTTCCCCTGGCCCATGTGACTGGTAGGGGCCTCTCATAACCCATACCCAACCTAGCCTAAAGTTACATTCCATGCCTGAAATCCAGTGTTTCTAGCTGCTAAAGAACCATGTAGGGCTTGAAAGTTCAGCTTTTCATGGACTTCTTTTCTTGGAATCTGTTGAGTTCCCCACTCCCATTAAATGTACACATTTTCTGGGCTAGAGAACAGTCACGGTCCTGAAAGTTGTTTAAAAGTCAAAGGAACTTGGACCTTTCGTTGGACTTTGAAACTTAGTACAGAGTTTCAAATACACTGCCACATATGCAGTAGCCAGAGCTATATATTGAATATTAGTGCCAACAGCCGAGAATCAAATGTCATAATCTTCCAGTGACATTTACAGGACCCCACTTGCTGAATACAGTGAAATTGCTTTAGAAATAAATTGGACTGAAGATGACAGCCACATTGTGTTAGCAACAACGAATTAATATGGAAACAGTAAAGGTCACTGAGGGAGTGTATGCTGCTCAGTGCTGTTGCTTATCAATGCTTGGATCCTAAGGTAAGAGAACTTTTGCTGGGGGTGGGGAGTTTCTTCCCCTCACTGTGTAGCCACCTGTTAACATCCAAAAAGACACTCCAGAGAAGCCTTTTTCTATCTTGTGTCTCCAGGTGTTGTTGGACTACAACTCGCATCATCCCTAGCTAGCAGAACCAGCAGTCAGGGATGATGGGAGTTGTAGTCCAACAACATCTGGAGACACAAGGTTGAAAAAAGCTGCTCTAGAGGGTCTCCCCCAGCAGCCCCCTGTATTCGTCCCACATCGTTCAGGAGAGGCTTTTGGTAGGTCGCAAAACAGGATCAGTGAATCTGTCAATTGGTTTCACTCAGTTTCTTGCTTTTTCATTCTTAAGCTAAGATAAGGACTTGTGATCACGAGTCGGTGACCGTGTGTCAGTTGGACACACTTAAAATGGTCATCGCCTGCAGATGCATTTTTGTACACGTTTCTTGGCTGGAGAACTTTACTGCAAGAGCCAATTTCAAAGCACAGCAATGTTTCGGTTTGCATAGAATCACAGAATGGTAGAGTCTGAAGTATCACAAAGGTCATCTAGTCCAACCCCCTGCAATGCTGGAATCTCAGCTAAAACATATTGTTTCAGAAAGTGGTACTAATGTAGATTAGTCTTTAAATGTGAACTGAACTCAATTTCTTCCCCATCCCTAGATGCAGAGGGCTGCAGAGGTGAGAAAACCTTTCTTCTGTGAACGTCCTAAACTTATCTTAGGATCCAAGCTGAAATTTTCACACCCATTCTTATTCAAGTAAAACTCCAGAACCTTTTAAAGAAGGCAGCTGCTCACATGTTCTAGTACACCTTTGTTATCATAACAAACTAGCCGAAAAGAAAAAGGAGTCGTGGACCTACTTTGTAATTTTTTGCTAGAGCTTTCTCCACCATGGGCATGTCTCCTTGGCATGAAAGGTGATGGCTGAGGCAGAGGTAGTGAGGATTCATCATGCGTCTGCAGCGTATACCAATGTGGTTCATCATCTAAAAGTGCTGTCTCCAGCTCTATAAGGATCTATGGGGAAAGGGAGCAAGCTTCATCAACAGAAAACAAAACGCTCTGGAGATCCTGTTACATGTCTTAAACAGAACTAGTTTGCAGTGCCAACGTATGCGCATTCACCTCCCCAAGAAAGTCGCTTTCTTCTTCTTGCACTCTGGGCTGATCCCAAACCGTGATCTCCAACATCCGTTCTCTAAAATCTCTACGGTGCACGTGGGAATAGAGAAAAGTTTGGTTCCATTTTGGTTCTAAGCTTTTCTTTACCGTTTTGGTCCTCCTCTTACTCTTATCACTGAAACAAGGAAAAAACAAAACATTGTTGTAAATCACAATGCAGGAAGCAAGGCCTCTGACTCACCCCCTACTATTACCATACTTATTCTGCTGGGCTACCCCTGGTAAGGGAGCACTACTCAGCTGACTGGTGGCCTTGTTTCTCAGCCACAGAGCAGTGCTGCCAGGCCAAGAGCACTCAACAGTCAAAAGGGCTGAAAGGGGACATTCAGGTTGTCCAGCAACTATAAACATAGGAAGCTGCCTTATACTGCGTCAGACCACTGGTCTGTCTAGCTCAGCCTTGCATACATTGACTGGCAGCTTCTCTCCAGATCATCAGACAGGGTTCTCCCCCCACCCTACCTGGAAATACCAAGGATTGGCTCTGGGGCCTTGTGTAATCAAAGTAGATGCTGTACCACTGAGTTTCAGGCCCTAGGTGAGTGGAAGGACTAAGGGGCAGGCAAATGAACCTAGCCATTATGAGAGTTATCCATCACCCCCAAGTCCATTTAGTGAATGAATTATCAGTAACACAAGCCAGGAGTTGAGTGTTTGGTACAAAAGTTGCACTCAAAATAAAAGACCAAGGATTGGACAAAAATACTTTTACTGTATTTTGTATCTATCTATCTATCTATCTATCTATCTATCTATCTATCTATCTACCACCTATCTATCTGTCTACACACACACACACACACACACACACACACACACACTTAATGGGAAAGGGACAGATAAAAGGATAAATCAGCTCCACCCACAAGGTTGAAGAGGGGAAGGGGAGATAACATTGGAAGGGAAGATGTGGTGTGGTGAATATTCTTTTATTGGGCCAGGATAACTTTCCATTGTGGAAAGTTTCTTTTCCTACAAATCCCTTCCATCAAAAAGGATTCTAACTGCTCCCCCAATAAAAGATACAGTTCATGGTATTAACCCTTATTGAAAGATGGCCCTTAGAACATGAGGAGTCTCCATGAGGAGACTGGAGTCAATTACTCTAAATATAGGGCCATTCATAGATTGATTTTTCATGGTTCTTTTAGAAAAGCATAAAAGCATATAGCAATATATTTTTTCAAACTATTTTTTCAGTAGAGCATGTTTTTCATTTAAAGAGCTACCTTCTGTCCGGAAGGAAATACATTTTTACATAAGGATTTCTCGGGCGTCCATCTATTCTGGGTGGCAGGTCTGTTGCTTGAAGAACATTCACTATTAACTGATGCCCAACTTTATCATACCAAAGCTTTACCTAAAATGTTATAAAATAATTGTAAGTTATCAGTCCAGAAAATGCATTCATTTGGATTCATATCCAATCAGATCCTTGAGGCTTGAGCTGGGGTAAAAATATGCTCATTTTAAAATGGCAAAAGTAAAATACAGTATTGTAAATTTAAATATCCACTCCTCCCTTAAGCCTAGCCACAATATACTTGATTAATTAATAAGATCTTGGGCATGATCCACTGAAACTGATGGGCAGGAGATTCGGGACAGACAACGGTATTTCTTTCCATAGCATTTAATTAATTTATGGAATTCAATACCAAAGGAAACCAGAGATGGTCACAAGCTCAGATGCCTTAAAGAGGGTTAGACATGGAGAATGAGCCTGTTAATGGTGAATAGTCATGATGGCTATATCCTTGGACAGTTTACAGGGCAGGTATGATATAAAACACAGTAATTAAGATCAACGAAAAGCTAAAACAGACAGCAATTCCCCCCCCCCTTGTACCAGGCGCAGTATAGAGAGTTTGCAGATTTAAAAGACAATTGAAAAGCATGTGTGAACTTTCTAAACATCTGGGTAGGCTTGTCTATACAATAATGTTTTTACCCAGCACAAAATAGAGTACATTGAAAGGGCCTGCTTGATATCAATAGGCAAGGAGTTTCAATTCTTACAAAAGCAGAATGGGTATTATGTGGCATCTGTTGTAATGCAAATTCTGCCAGCCTAAGCGGCTGATTGAAGCGCAAGACCTCTAAAGAGGATAAAATGAGGAGATCTTTCAGGTAACCTGGATGCCACTGACCAGTAGCTGCTGAGGAGCAACAACAACGGGAGAGGGCAGTTGTCTTCAGCCTCTACTTGCCAGCTGTCCAAAGACATCTGCTTGACCAATGTGGGAAACATGATGTCAGACTTAAGCAGACCTTTTGTTTGATCCTGGAGAACTCTTATTATGTTCTTATTAATGCATGTTTATCGCTTGATGGGACGCGGGTGGCGCTGTGGGTAAAAGCCTCAGCGCCTAGGGCTTGCCGATCGAAAGGTCGGCGGTTCGAATCCCTGCGGCGGGGTGCGCTCCTGTTGTTCGGTCCCAGCGCCTGCCAACCTAGCAGTTCGAAAGCACCCCCGGGTGCAAGTAGATAAATAGGGACCGCTTACCAGCGGGAAGGTAAACGGCGTTTCCGTGTGCTGCGCTGGCTCGCCAGATGCAGCTTTGTCACGCTGGCCATGTGACCCGGAAGTGTCTCCAGACAGCGCTGGCCCCCGGCCTCTTGAGTGAGATGGGCGCACAACCCTAGAGTCTGTCAAGACTGGCCCGTACGGGCATGGGTACCTTTTTATCGCTTGATGACTGTTATATCATGGGATGACTTGCATGTGTAAATAAGCTACCCCAGATCAGTATGTTTTGCTGCCCAAAGTGATTCCCCCACCCATTACTAGGGCCAAAGTCTTGCCGCACCAGTTCTCACCTTCATCTACCCTCCTACAACTTGCTGCATTGTAGAACCAGCCCTGCTATACATGGAGGTGTTTTCATTGAGTCAGTTCACACATCTGACCGCGCAGGAATCAAGTGTGGAGAAATCAAGAGGACAGGAGGTAATGTGGAAGTTGTATGTGTGGTGTTATATCTGGGATAGCCTATGCATACATCCAAGTCATCACAGGATGATCTAGTGCTGAAAGTTCATACAAAAGCATTGCTTCCAAAATGTCAACAAAAACATTTTCTGCATACAATTTAGGCTACACAGACGTCAAATAAAAAACAAAAAGGAAAGGCTAAAATTTTCACTGACATTTTCCTCCTAATCTGCTCAGTTTTGTAACCTATACCTGAACAAAAACAGCAAACGAAATGTGCTGCTGGTGAACACCATTTTGTACTTACAGAGAGCTGCCCAGGCAGGACCTGTGGAGCATCTTTTAGGGCTCCAGGACTAGTAGGGGAAATAACAGAAATTGACGGCCGTTCCATTTTTTGAGATTCAAATGAACTAGAACCTGTAAGGATGGGGGGGGGGGAATGTGAGGGGGAAGAGACAGCAGTTTAATGCAAGATACACCAAAAACAATTTCATTACTGCTTCTGCTTTTAACATGTAACATTGCACACACTGAACCAACTACTCTGAGATGCCGAAACCAATGGGTTGACTATTCAACAAGAGAAAGAAGATTCTCTTTCAAAATAAATGAGGGGAGGGTGACAAAAAGGTCTTCACCAAAATAACAACAGCAATGATGGTGATGATAAAAGAAACAAAGTACCTTCCCTTTGTAGCCCATTTTCCATAGCTGCACATTTATTTATTTTCAAATCTTTATAGAAAGGAAAATGATAGAAAAATAGAGGAGCAGGAAAGGGAAGGGGGGGGAATTGAAAATTCTGATAAATGTCATTAAATGATGGATTTTCAACAAAACATTTGATTTTGAGCAGATGCAAAAACAAAATAAGAAAACTGATAGCCTTTCCACTTGGTCAGTCAAGTAATAATCCTGAGGCTATTTTCAATGTCAATATTCCATCCAATATCAAGGGAACAGATAATCTCGCTACAGGGGAGAACATACTCTGTACAGTATAGTAATAATAAAGAATAAGAATGGGCAAGACATTCTTTGCTAAAACTTGGAGAGTGATATAGACGTCAAAGATTTTATCTAAATTTTAAAATAAAAGGTTTGCAAAATGTAAGTTGCCTTGGGGGTCATTTTTTTCGGCCAACATTTGCCTCATAAATAATTTTATAAATAAAGATGTGGGAGGGAGTACTATTGTCACCATTTGTTAATCAGAAATAAAGTTGGTAGTGGAATGCTAAAGGTGTCCAGAGAATAATATCACTAAGAGTGATATTCAGCTAAGTTGTACTCTGAGCAAACTTATTGAACTTGATGGGATGAGAACTAACATTGGATATCACCCTAAATTTTACAAATATTCATGTGGCACATGCAGGAAAAATGGATTATGACCTCTTATGGGCCTGTTATGATTGTGCAACTATATACCACACAACAGCTGCTGAATGTTCTTCAGTTTTTGCAACTGAAACACAACCTGGAGGGAAAGTTAATACACATTTGCAATTCAGGGAAATGATGGCGCAGGAAGACCCTAAGTTACGTTTTCTCATGGAAAAACTCTTTTTTGTCAAAGCTTCATTTTTATGTGGAATTTTACCACACCACAGAAGAAACAATCTAGCTAGTTTCTTGGAAGTGAATTCAAACCATCAGTTCAGGTGGTGACATTTGAGAGTTCTCACCATTGAAAGTGTAGGCATATCAGCACCAACGTTTTGTGGACTGAACCCAGTGGTATCAAAAGTAGTTTTAGACAAAGATTGTGCTTACAGACTGCATAATGCTGCATATATTCTTCTAAATAATTTTATTTCAATCTAAGCATAAGCAAGAACAAAGGAAATACTCACTAGATTCTAGTGGAGGATGAGAAGTCTCGGGAATCCTTGGAATGTCACTAAAATAGGTATAGAAAAATTAGAAAAACCTGAACAGCTTCTCTACAAAACAAATACATAGGCATTAGAGGGAGGTAATTACTTAATTTTCAACAACAATTACCCTCAGATTTTCACTCATGGCCCTGAAAAATCCCCCACTTACAGGTCTTTGTTAGATATATTGTTGTTTTTAATTTAACTTTTCTCTCATAGTGCTATGCTGAAACCTATCCTCTGTTTTTGCAAAAGAGGCTTCATCTTCCTTCTTCATTCCCAGGTTGCTTTACAATGTCTTTCAATTTTCTTTAGAATTTTGATGGCAAAGGGCTGAGCTTACCTAATTGTTGTGAGGGAGATGAGGGCACTGCGTGTGTTTCTTTCCATTACACATTTCTCTAGTAGTATGCAGCCTTCCTGGGTGCCTGTATTTCCTGATCTGAGGAAGCCCTACAGGGACTGATACTTTATGACACCATCATCTAGGCTTTAGCTAAAGTGTGGGAAATGTTGTCAAGCCCCTGGGATTGCACTTGCTGATTTTGTTTCAGCAAAAAATCCGTTTTTTAAAAACCCTCCCTGCACTGATTTCTTTAAAAGCGAAAAGATCACATTTAACAACAAAAACAACAATCTATCAGGAGGAATGTATGCAGTCTCTCCACATTCCCATGCTTACAGGAAAGCCCAGCTGAGATTTTCTTAAGTTACAGACACCTAGGAAGGCTGAAAATTCTAGCACCAGAGAGATGATTTGTAGAATGAAAGGACATTCACAGAAGACTTTGGCCACCTCAAAAATAAGGTAAGTATAACAAAATCCCACACCCCATTCATGAAACTTTTCCCTCCTCCTTCCTAATTTCCAAACGCGATTCCTTTTTTTCCATTAGTAAAGCTGGGGTTTACAATAGAACTTGATGATCCTAAGGGACACAGCACTAATTTACATTTGGTTTTGACAATGATTACAACACAGACAGCAACTTCAGTATGAACACACTATCAGGTTACTATTGCAGTTGGATGTTCCACAATATTTGTAAAATCACACAACAAAGGGAAACACGTTAGAGAACAGAAGGGGGACAGCTATCTACAGCTAGTGATTCTGACTTTCCCCCTTTTTGGAAATGACCCAAATTGTGTAACTCACTAGAAGTTTCTATACACGCGTCTCAAGGAGTTTGCTGAATGAAGCCTATGAAAAAAACTTACAATAACAAAGAAAAAAACCAAGAAAATATGGAAAAGGTAAAAAATAATAATAAAAGTATATACACATGGAAATACAATACACATGGAAACTGATATATCCCTAAATAGGGCTGCAATTCTAAACACAGTTACCTGGGAGTAAGCACCCTTGAACTCAGTAGGATTTACTTCTGAATGGGCATTGCATAGCAGATGTGGAGAACATTCAGCCCTCTAGATGTTGCTGAACTACAACCATCAGCCTCAGGAAGCCTAACCAATGGTAAGTGATGATGGGAGCTGTAGTTCAACAGTATCTGGAGGGCCAAAGGTTTCCCACATCTGATGTATAGCATCATGTTACAGATTTACATGCAGTTCTTATACATTAGCCACTGAAACAGCAAAATATGCTTCCTATTAGTGGCTCTCAGTCCAAAAATATTTTGTTTGCCCTTGAGCAGTTTTGATTGTATATCACAAGAATTTTTACCTTCATCCACAAATTTTAGTTTTACACTTGGGTGGGGATTTACCATAATTTTATGCTGGGGATTCACCAGAATCTATAAAGTCCCCTGGCAGCATGAGATTTTGCTAGTCCCTTCCAGGGGTCTGTGTCCAGATATGGTGCATAGAGACTTGTTCAATAGCTTTAAACTGCATGATATGGGCAAGCCACTTTCTGCACACAAGCCTTGATTATTCTCTCACATAAACAAAGAAGCATTGTGGGTTGCACAGAATCCAGGGAACTGTTGTCTGTGCCACAGTAATGCCACAGAAACCCAACCCTCCACTTTTATATAAATAAACATGGCACATAAAGAGCTACAACTCTTAAAACGCCGCACATCAATGCCCAACCTCTATACAGGGCAATGTGGTTTTCTCAAGAGGTCAATCCACTTAACAGTGGTTGTACCCCTTCAGTCCTTGTCCATTTTATTTATTCTTAAAATCGCTATGTGCATATACTACAGCAACAATAGTCCTCTACCAGCATTCCTAATGTAGGGGAAGGTAGACATCCAGTGAAGATAACCATGCAAGCTGTGCCCCTCTTCCGTCACTCATCTCATCACCTTCCAGCTCGTGAAAGCAGACAAGCTGCAAAATGAAGCCTTATGCATTCATGGAAAATCAGGATTCTAAAATGAGTGTTGGGGGATGGGAGTTCATGAATACAAAAGGCTCCTCTGGCAAACATTTGCCTTCCACAAACTAAAAGGAGATTGAAATGGTGACATGGGTTGGGGCAGTGGCGTCACAGCGGGGGTGGAGGGTGGTACGCCCCAGGTTCCATGTCTGCGGGGGTGAGGGGCTCTCGGCGGCACAAGCAGTCATCGTGCCGCCGCGGCCACATGTGGAGGCTACATACAGCACATGTATCATACGTAGCGACGCTGCACATGCACCCTATCTAGTGACGCCCGCCCCGGGTGTCATGACGCCTTCCTTCACCCCAGGGTTCGGGGAGCCCTCCAAGTTAAACCACCTCCTTTACTTTCTCCTGAGAAATGTCTGGAAAGTGTGTGTGTGTGTGTGTGTGTGTGTGTGAGAGAGAGAGAGAGAGAGAGAGAGAGAGAGAGAGAAGATTGAGAGAGGGGGAATGTATGTGTGTGTGCACAGACTGAGTCACACAGAGAAACGCTTACATAGTTATGACGGCAAGATTCCACATGTAACATTGTGCATTTTACAAAACGAGTGATTCAAACCTTACCCAATAGGCCTTGAAACAATAATTTCAACTTGAGGTTCTGATTTTGATTCTAAAATAATGTTGTAAACTTCTTCGTTTGTAGCTCCGGGAAGTGGTTTGCCATTCCATTCTAGAACTTCATCACCTTGAATGTAAACACAAGGGAGGTTTCATCTCCTGCCTTTCATATCACTTTGCACAAGCACACACAAATAAATAAATAAGCTTTCTTTTCCAGGCTTACAGATGATCAGTTTATTGAATATTCATCCTGATAAGTTTGCAGAAAGCTTGTGTAGAAGTTATACAGTGCCTGCTCTTTATTTAGCATCCATTCTGATTCGTTTATGCACATGCTATACATCTGGAGGCAGCCCTGTTTAGGGAAGTTTTTAATGACTGATGTTTTAATGTATTTTTAATCTTTTGTTGGAAGCTGCCCAGAGTTGCTGGGGAAACCAAGCCAGATGGGAGGGGTAGAAATAATACATTACTACTACTACTACTACTACTACTACTACTACTACTACTATCATCATCATCATCATTATACAACACCCACTATTTATTAAGCATTCATCTTGTTTAGTTGCAATAAGGTTATATGACTTCCCATCAACTGAACATTATCTCATTTTTTTCATGCGCATTTTCTCATCACTTTCCCTATCATAAAATGTCTGGCTCTTTATTAAGTGGGTTTTTTGTGCCAGAGCACTTTAATCCATTTTAATTGTGTAAAACTAAATTTGTGACAGAATCCATCTTCTGTGTATGCTAGTGACCTCTTTGTACGCCGGCCAGACAGGAGATTTCTGCATTGCAGGGGGTTGGATTAAATGACCTTTGGGGTCTTTTCTGACTCTACAATTCCATGATTCTATGAGAAGCACCCTCCTGGCCAATGCATGTAGACAGAAGTAAGCTCCTCCAAGTGGCCAATCAAACACCAACACTTTCTTAAGGGGCTTCAATGTTCAAAGAGGCTGCTCAAAGAGCCCTGGCTCTTTTTCATGCCAAGCAGACTGCTGTTTGATGACCCTCCTGTCAAAGCTTAGTTCAGTTCATTTTGTATACAGTGTACCCTGAATACAAACACAATCGCAGAATCACAGAAATGTAGAGTTGGAAGGGAACTTGAGGCTCACCTAGTCCAACTTCTTGCAGTGCAGGAATCTTTCACCCAACCTGGGGCTTGAACCCTGAGATTAAGAGTCTCATGTGCTACCAACTGAGCTATCTATATGGAAATAAAATCCACAGATCCAAAAAATTTGCAAAGCCCCCAATTTTCATCACTTCCCATCATTTTCTATAAGGAGTCCTTTACTGCACCGAAGATGATTTCCTTCTGTATTCCGAAGTTTCTGTCCGCCTAACACAGAATGGGGAGTCCAGGCACTGGCACAGCTCTGGCCCCCAAGCAGATCTGCAGAAGCACTGCATGTATCCATTTATTTTCAGACTTCCATGTTCACTTAAGCATGCAACCTAAAGGTGCTTCTTCTCATGGGGCTCAGTGCACTCAACTGGGTGGATTCATTTAGGGCCCATTTTTGCTCACGTAAGCAATTTGATAATAATGTCAACATTTAATATTTAAATGCTATTTTAAAAACTAAACATGTTATTAAATGTTTAATGCACACATAAGGAAGTCCTTCCAATTCTTTATATAAATATAATGCTTTTTAAATTTTCCCCATATATAAATACAGTGGTGCCTCGCAAGACGAAAATAATCCATTCCGCGAGTCTCTTCGTCTAGCGGTTTTTTCGTCTTGCGAAGCAACCCTATTAGCGGCTTAGCGGATTAGCGCTATTAGCGGTTTAGCGGCTTAGCGGCTATTAAAGGCTTAGCGGCTAAAAGGCTATTAGCGGCTTAGCACCTTAGAAAAGGGGGGGGGAGCGGGAAAAAAATTGCAAGACTCGCAAGACGTTTTCGTCTTGCGAAGCAAGCCCATAGGGAAATTCGTCTTGTGAAGCAACTCAAAAACGGAAAACCCTTTCGTCTAGCGGGTTTTTCGTCTTGCGAGGCATTCTTCTTGCGGGGCACCACTGTAACTGCTTCTAAGGGCAACCTGCACACTATTACAAACAGTAAAGATAGTGATTGTCAATATATTGCTACCATCACATTAGACTGAAATGTTTTATTGCAAACTTTAAATTGGGAAAGGGAATCTCACGTCTGGAGATGAAATGCAGCCTCTCCGTCTGGGCCTTGGGACTCTCCCTATGCCCTGCTCCCTCCCCAGGACTCAAGCCCTGTCCTAACACCATGCCCCGCACTGAGTCCACTCCCCACTCCCCATGAGAACTGCTGCTTGGCTGAAGCATGTCCTCTAACTATCATAATGCCTAGATGAAGGTTGGGGAGTGGTGTGTTTTGTCTGTAGATGTAAGAACCTCTGACTTTTGCAGGTAGCCCACTGTACATAGTACGTAAGGGTCAAATCTGTTGCTCTGCTTGCTTTGGCCTCTGACCCCACCCAGCTCTGGCCCCCAGAAGGTTTAGGGGAAATATGGTCCTGAAAAAGTTCTGCGTTCCTGCTGTAAATGCAGCACAAAACACAACAGTAGTGCTGTTTTCGCAACATCAAAAATAAATAAATTAAGTGGCTGAATTACCTGCTCTTAGATGTCCCACCACATCAGCCAAGCTACCTTTCTTTACTTTGGTAATGAAGGCACCAAGTCGTCCTAAATCAGTCATTTTTCCTCCTACAACCTGAGTGGGTGGGGGGGAAAGTGTCAGTTTTCAGAATACAGCGAATTACATTTGAAGGAATGCAATGAAAAACTATTTAACCCAATAGACAGCTGCAAGTTACCTCTCACGACTTGCTGACCAGAATGTTCACACACAGGCCACACAAGTTCAAAGTTAAAACAGTCCTTGCTGAAGTGATATTTTATGTAATGTTCAGAGGCCTTATACATGCAAAACTATATTTCTATAAGCTCTCATATAAACAGATTCTAGGTCAAAACACGGATTATGAATGTTAGGAAAGCCTGCTGGACCAGGCCAATGGCTCATGCTAGTCCATCATCCTGTTCTCACAGTGGCCAAACAGATGCCTGTGAGAAAACAGCAAGCAGGATTCGAGCACAGGAACCTTCTCCCCTCCTGCGGTTTCCAGAAGCATGGCTACTTCTAACAGTGTCCTGAGTAGGAATCACATAGGTTCCTGATTGGGCCCCTGTGGGAATAGAATGCAGGACTAATGTGCCCTTCTGTCTGATCTAGTAGGATGATAATCTTATGATTATTATTTTCCACTTCCCATTAAACTCTAATTAAAGGTTATGGCCAGCTTGAACCTTTCTATGAAAAAAGCATACAACGCTCAGTCCATGGCTATTTGAACTAGCAACCTAATACTGTATGCATTCACTATTCTTAATGAAGGGATATGTTCCCCTATCTGGAAAGGAGTTTGGAATTCATCTGTCAATATTAGGAATTCACAGGGAGGAAGAGAAAGGTCAGAAAAGGCTGCTGAGCTAATATATGTCTATCTGCAAATTATATCTATGTCAGGCCCCTGCCTCAGACATTAAAGGAGCAGAAATGCCAAATATATTTCAATGGCTCATGATTCTATTTTCATACTTGGGAAGGTGCGGACTGGCTCAGCATTCTTTTCCTCTTTTCCTACCACAAGGTCCCAAAACCAAAGATAAGATTAGTACCCTGAGGAGGAGACACCACCCATCACTTAGTTCTCTCACTTGAGGCCACAACCAACCTCTAAAATATATTGGAATGAATTTACAGCCTATCCTCCACAGTACTTACTTTGAGTCCCAGCAATGCACCTGACTCTTTTGGCATAGTTGTTCTCTTGTTGAGAATAACACGGCCAATTAGGCGATCTCCTTCTTTAGATGGTTGCCACGTCACAGGATGCTATTAAAAATAAACAAACAAGAGGAAGCAGATTCCTGTTTATGCATACAAATCAAGTCTGTAAAACAGCCACACTCTTTTCCCCGAGGTAATAAAGGTATTGGGCATCTATTTTTATAGTTATCAATGGACTGCATGTTGCCTATGCTGGTTATTTAAACTGTTTGCTGTCTCCAGCATAGTACTTAGAATGGAAGGAACACTTACGATCCAAGACAAAGTACACAACTCCTTCTCCTTATGGTTTAACATATATTTTTTTCTATTAAGTTTATTCAATGGATGAAGGAGCAGATTTTCTACAAAAATATCCAACCTATTAAAGATGTTTTGTGGATTATTCATAAAAACAACTATATCACAGTCTTTTTTCATATTATCATGTTAAGAACCAACCAACACCATAATGATAATAAAAATAATAATCATTTATTTTAATTTAATCCAATAGACCAATTTGGCATATTTCTTACCGAGCTAATAGGAGATGTCTCCCTACTGTGCCACGTGGCAGGATCAAGCCAGTAATAATCCAAATCACCTGGAATATATAGGAAAGGAAGAAATGAAATGAAATGTATATTCTGAAGGAAATGCATTAACTGTATTATGAGTTGAACTGAATTTAGTGTTTTAATTTAGAAATAATAATAATAATAATAATAATAATAATAATAATATACAATTCCCTATTCAACTGCAGATCTTGCATGATGATTGAGTTTATGTTTTGGTTGAGTTTGTAATTTGTTAAAACTGTTTCTATATTACAGTGTTTCAAGATGCTGTTGTTGCTAGCATATAAAAATACAAGGAGATACTTCAGATTGGCCACATTCAGAGGACATCCTAAATCAAGTCTGAGGAACCTTATTGCCCTCTAGGTGTTGTTGGACTTTTACTCTCATCAGACCCAGCTGGTGTGACCCATGGTCAGGAACAATGGGAGTTGTAGCTCAACAACATATAGAAGACTACAGCTTCCCCATACATGTGCTAAATCATAGTTTAGCAATACCAGACTGAGTCAAGTCTTCCTACCCAGGTTTGGATGCTCTTATTCTCTCCTTCAGCACAGGCACAAGGAGGAAATCAGAAGCTTCTGCTACAGTTTCAGATTAACTAGAGTTTAGTGGGCCATCCAAATCCTAAACTATGATTAATGTTAACTGTGGTTTGATTAAACAAGTCAGCTTCATAATCCATGCTTTGAAGCTGGCGTGTTTCAAACAAACCATGCTTATGATTAACCAGTTTTTTGGGTTTAAGCTACAGTTAAGTGAAACCAGAATCTTCCTCACAGTCATATCAGAGAAAGAGCAAGATGAGCCCATGGCCCAATATAACTCATTTCATCAAGCAGAACTGGGCTATTTATTCTGGCCTATCTAGCTCTATTCTGATAGCATTTCTTCTGGATTTCAGGTACCATATTTCCTGTAACCTGAGATGATCTCAATGGAGGTGCCTAGGGTTGAACCTTGGACCCCTCTGCATATAAAACAACACACTCTACTTGCATGCTATAAACACAAGCTTGATTGTGTCAATCCCACAATTTCCAACTGCAGTAAATTTTGAGCAGCTGCTTGCTTGCTCCAGATCCCCATATGGCCTACTTGTGTACATTTGCAAATACATAGGACTGTACTTCAGGCTAAAGTTAGCTGCAGATAGTTCCTATTTAAATCAATAGCACTTAAATGATGGCTAACTTGTGTTACTGATTTCAATAGAACTCAAGTTCAGCTAACTTCAGCTGGATCCAACTCAGAAATATCACACCATCATAATCAATTTCCAGTAAAACTGCTCTCAACATCTCACTATTGGGGGAAGAAAGAAGCAACCAAAGCTACAACGAGTGACATACACATAGCTGTGCTAGTAAGCAAATGATAGTAGTTAAAATAATTTTGGGTGGTATGTAGTAGTATATATACACAATATTAATTTGAATAATGGAGGCAAAACTGGAAATGTACTTGAGATGACACACAAGTAAAAGGGGTAGGCAGAACAGATGAATGAATTACATGATGTGAAGTGATGGAGAGAGATGGATATGCTTCTGTGTTATGCAATGATGACCAACAAATGAATTATAATAATCAATTCACAGAGATTGCAGTTTAGAATACCGATCGGGATTCTGTACAAGAAGATGCTTCCTTGTAAAGACAAGCTGGAGCACAATTCTCTGCACACTTACCTAATAAGTCTAATTGAAATTAGCAGAACTTACTTCTGAGTAAACATGCACAGGATTGCACTGTTAGCCACTCTGCTATTGTTGGTTATCAGCTAATGCAAGCTGTGCAGACTCTGGTTTACCTCTGCCATGAATTCATTAGTCAGTCTAAAGCAGCTCATTCATTATCTCTTATCTCAGCCCCACCCAAACCTGTAATAGGGGGCTAATAACGTCAAACTACTTTACAAAGCTGTAATACAGATGATGAAGAGGACAACAACAACAACAACAACCAGCAGCATCAGCATCAATGGCACATTTATTTCTCATTGGGCTTATTTATTTTTTAAGTATCTATCATCTATCTATCTATCTATCTATCTATCTATCTATCTATCTATAGCATGGTTGATATCAAAAGCTCATAGCCACCCTTTTGTTAAACCAAAGTTTAATATTACAAGAGGGAGCCTACCCTTCTCCAAGCTGCTTTGGATGCACCTGCTTTAATTTTTAGATTAACCACAGTTTACTGTGTCATCATAGATTGGGCATTTTTATTTTAACTATGGTTTGCTTGAAACAAGCCAACTCCAAACAATGCATTATGGAACTGATAATCCAAGGCATCCAGTTGCCAGCTGAGAACAAGATGCTGGTCCAGATGGGCCATTGGCATCATGCTGCAAGCTCTTCTTATGTTCTTAATCAAACTACAGTTAACATTAGCCATAGTTTAGGGAGCTTTTTTGCTAGGGTTGTTGCTGAACTTGCAGAATCTTTCCTAAAGTTCCTCCCCTTTTTGACATGCTAGATCAAATTAAGGCTATGCATATTTATTTAGTTTTAACATTTATCATCTGTTCTTCACCAGATAGTCCCAGGGCAGAACAAAACCACACCTTCATTCAAACGAAGTATAGTAAATAAAATAAAAAACAACAACAAACCATATTATATATACAACTACTTTTTAAATTAAAAGAATCAGAAAAAAAATACTGAAGCAGGCTAGATACTATCACAGTCAAGTGACTCATCACACTTCTCATCCCCTCCCAAAGGGGTGTGCAAAGAGCTGCATTTTCACTTGTCATGAAAATGTTAGTGTAATATCAGTACCAGACACACCTCAAAGGATTCTAGAAGTAGGGAGCCACCACAGAGAAGGCCCTCTCATGCACCCCACCCTACCAACTTCTGCTAACAGTGGGATCATGAGCAGGTTCTCCCCCTCTGAACTTAGTGCTAGGGCATGTGAATATGGAAGAAGGTGTGTGCAAGTATATAGTTGTGCAAAGCCAGCATACTCATCAAAGCAAATCTGGTGCCATAAACTGGCATACTTGGGCACATGTTGTGGTAGAGTTCACCACATGAATCCTACCCTGCATTCCCCCCAACTGTAGGCATCACCAGTTAGCGCCTCCATGTTGCCAAGGAGGGAGAGGCATCAGCTGACGACCCACTCAAATATGTTGTCAACCTAGCCTCAAAGGATGAAGCCTGAATATATAGGGAGCAGGAGTATGGTTGGAACTGACAGGAAGCAACATACAAGAAGGACAAATTCACACTCAGGCACAGATTTCTCCCTCTGAAGAGCAAACAATATACCTTCTCTCATTGTTATTTGTGCCATTTCACTTCAGACATATTAAATGGAGTCCCTAATTCTTAATGACAATGATACTTTAACAGCAGCATTCAAGAATGTGTACTCTATTATACAATTTCTCTCTCACAAACATGCTCAGACACTTTATCTTTCACAACATTATTTTTATGGCAAACATGATATTGCTAACAAAAGTTGGTTGGGCTAGAATTTGTCGATTGCTTTCTCTCCTTAGCTTCCCTCTGTTCAGTTTGCTATATAAAGTGCCAAAAAATGAATATATTCAAGATTAGAGTCATGAATACCTAAAACTGAAATGCAATGCTTTCAACTGGGAACATTGTATTTAAAAAAAACAAATCCAAAAGCATACTATATGATAATACACAGGCTGCATTATTGCAATTTGAAGGCTATGAAATTTACTAACCACAACACGACTCAGGAGACGCAGGGCACACCAACTCTCTTCTGCCAAACAGATTAGCTAAAAATAATATATCTGAATGATTATATGTTTCCTGACCATCAAAACCTCTGAAATCTGATTACTTTCTCGAACGTGCAATATTCTTTATGGCTAAATGAGATTTACCCTGTCCAGAATTACATTTACAGGCAGGCTATTTTAAAATAAAATTTTAAAAAATCTAAACACATATTTATGGTTGAAAAAGTCAGCTTATATTTTAAAAACACAGTTATATACTTAAAAAATCAGGAATGGGTATTATGAAAGGTAAAGGAACCTGCCCGCCCCCGAAAGAGCAACAAAAATGGCTCTTTTATCTCTTCCCCCCACCCTTATGCTTGTACTTCACCACCAGAAGAAACCTTTTCAAAACTCAGACTGATTGGCAATAATATTTTACAGACATCTACAGCCTCCCATTCTGACAGTACTATTAGATTACCTGTCCCCGAATACACCGTATGGAAAAGAAACTGAAGGAAACCAGCAAACATAGCAGCTTCAGCTCTGAGCACCTAAACAAGCAGAACCGACTTCAAGCAGGTTGCTGAATTCCAGCCTGCGACTGTAGCAAAGCCGTAACCGCAACGGGCGGGGAGGGGAGAGGAAACCCCCTTCCAAAAAACAAATCAGTGCAAAGCCAGGTCTATAAGACAAGTCCCTGTAGTCCTTGTCTCCTGAGCCAATGCCAAATTATTCTGCAATGTCAAACACTCTACAACAGTGACACCAAACAAGGCCACAAGAGCCACAGCCATCAATACAAATCTCTGCAGTGTGCAGAGAGCATTGATTACTGCATTAATCTATACATGCTCAGTGCAATGCTAAAGAGCCTCTCTGGCTACGGAGAATCCTTAATGATTTTAGGAGACTCCACGAGACAGTCTGATGAGGGGGGGGGAGGGGAAACCCCCCAAACAAAACACTGCTCCCTGCCCACAGAGGTGGGAAAATAAATGTTTTATCTGCCAGTACTTGACACAGACAAATGCTATGCGAAGCACAAGTATCAATGCAATCAGTACATTTAGACTGAATTTTTGCTGTGCAATTTAAGCACTGGCACAACACAAATTAAACCCGACCCACCCACCCTTAATTCACAGATAGGAGGCCACCACAGAAATGTGTGGGTTGGGTTAGAAAGAAGAGAAGCCCACCACCTGGCGAAGTTGTTCTTCAGGTTGCCTGATCCAAAGGCAAAAGCAGCTAAAGCTGGGCCAGAATGTTTACTGGATGCTGCTCTCACCTGCTGACCGAGACAAGCCTTGGGCAACTGCCAAGGGGCACTCACAGAACATGGACCACTTCTTCCGGAAACTGGGGGCATTTCCATGGGCAGAGCGAAAGTGAGTCAAAAGAGGCAGGTGGAGATTTTCTTAGTGCTGGCACAGGTCCCTTCCCTTTGCAGCAGTTTTGTCTCCCATGCAGATGGGGCAGGGAGAGACAAAATAATATTTGTAGTTGAATATAGCAGTTGAATGTAGCAGTTTGAAAGCATGTCAAAGTGCAAGTAGATAAATAGGTACCACTCCGATGGGAAGGTAAATGGCGTTTCCGTGTGCTGCTCTGGTTTCACCAGAAGCAGCTTAGTCATGCTGGCCACATGACTCAGAAAAACTGTCTGCGGACAAACTTCAGCTCCCTCAGCCAGTAAAGTGAGATGAGCGCCGCAACCCCAGAGTCGTTCGCGACTGGACTTAACTGTCAGGGGTCCTTTACCTTTTATAACAACATCTCACAGATTTCTCAGTGATATACTTACTATAGGTCAGCACTGTACTAACACAATGGTAGCGATTAGTTGACACTACAAATACTTTAATGCACTACCTGTGCAAAGGGGGACCAGGTACAGGAAGGGGATGCAAAGCTATATGGAGGGCCCCACCCCAAGGCCATGACTTCCACTGACTTAAGAGTAGACATCTGAGCCAGCAGTACTGCGAAATTACTACAAAATCTACCAGAAACCATGGAGCATTTGAAACACAAATCATTATCAACACCCTCAAATCAGCCCATCGTAAACTCCTAACAACTGAATGGCTAAAGCAGTTTAATTGATGCCTGAATGAAAATACTGCAATCAGGGTGGACATGGAACATAATATATTTTGGGTTGTGCCTGTCTGTTAGGAACATTGCAGTATTAATGTTCACTAAAAAGAAAATTTAATAAACCAGATACCCTGAAAAATATAATCAAGGGTATTTTTTATTATTATTATTATTAGTTTGAATTTTTCTATGTATTTTACCTAACTCGAAATGATTCACACTCTGACCTGGGGGGTCATAGAGACAGGAGAAGGGCAGAGAGAGTAAGCTGACTGCACTAGGTCAAATTTCATTCCACAGCAGTGCTTTTATTCTTCTTTTGACCTGATTTGCCCCTATAGAAGACAAATGGCAGATTTTATATAATATTTAATACTTCTCTAATGTTGCCACAAGCAACACATCCTAATCCTCATCACAATTTTCTAGGCCAAGCTACGATTAGGATTGTGATGACACAGATAAAGGAAATCTGGACAATACGGGTTAATGTTTTCATTTCTTCTCATAAAGCAAGCAGAGCAAAGGTTCTGAACATACCACCCATATCCTCATTACTGGTTACATAGTTTTGAGAGAGGTGATGGACCACATTAATTTTCTGTTGCTCCAGAGCAGGAAGTAGCTGACATGGTGCCCCCCAGATGTTACAGACTACCATTTCAGTCAATCTAACCAGCACAGCCAGTAACCAGGGATAATGGGAGTTCCCATCAGTAACATCTGCAGGACACCCCCCTTGGCCACCCCTGCTCTGGAAGGTTCAACCTCACCCAATGGGTTCTAAGTAGAATAAACAATATTTAGAGTAAACATCAGGAAACACTCCTGGATGGTGCAAACTGTTTGATGGTGGAACGGATTGCCCTGGGTGGTGGTGGACCCTCCTTTGTTGGAAGTTTTTAAGCTGAAGCTGTTGGAGATGCTGCAGTAGTGGGGTTCCTTCCAAGTCTGTGATTCTAAGGCTGAGGGAATTAATAAAAGGCACATTATGTTTCACTGCAAAAATATGGCTCCATCAACAGTTTCTGCTTTGTGACAATTCCCCCAAGCACCTAAATGCAAATAAGTTTGTGTTCGCAGGTCTAAACTGCTGCTTCCCTAACATCCTGCCTCTCACCACCGCCTTACGGCCCTCATTGATTTAGAGGATACATCCTGTACTGTACTGAGCTTTGGAAGGACTAGTTACAACTTCCTTTTCCTAGGTCTAGGAATATAGGAATTAGACAGTGGTACTGGGAAGGCACAAGATGGGTCCCAGTGGTATCTCTTTCCCCATCTTAACCAATACTTCCTTATTGGCTTCTCAAGGATAAATGTGTGACAAAGGGCAGAAGTTGATAACAAAGCAAGCTATCACTAGCGTAACTTTTAAAATGTGTTTGATGAGGTTTTTTGTTTCTCTTTAATTATTATCCAGCAAAGTTCAAGAACCAAAGGTCTAGCACTGGCTGTCAGTAAGAACTCATAGAGATATGGCTACAGTTCTGTTTCAGTCTGTCAAGGGTATTTCAATACGATTTCAGTACTGTTGGTACGGTAGATTTGACAACACATTGCTTCACTGGTGCCCCATTTCAGGTCTGTGAGCAAAACCTAAATTGTGGCACCATAGTGACAAAGCAGAAGTTGCTGAATTGCAACTTATTACCAAACTTAAAATCATGAAGAGACCTGGTCTGAATAGAGACATTGGATTTTATCTCATTATAGATGATAAAGCTATCTTTAGCCATCTCACCCCTTGTTTTTTCCTGTAAGACCAATTGCAGTCGTTAACAGTCGTCAACAGGTATACCACACCTATCAGCCAACCATAAAGAAGGCTGATCGCCGAAGAATTTATGCTTTTGAATTATGGTGCTGGAGAAGACTCTTGAGAGTCCCATGGACTGCAAGAAGAACAACCCTATCCATTCTTAAGAAAATCAGCCCTGAGTGCTCACTGGAAGGACAGATCCTGAAGCTGAGGCTCCAGTACTTTGGCCACCTCATGAGAAGAGAGGACTCCCTGGAAAAGACCCTGATGTTGGGAAAGATGGAGGGCACAAGGAGAAGGGGACGACAGAGGATGAGAGGGTTGGACAGTGTTCTCAAAGCTACCAGCATGAGCCTGACCAAACTGCGGGAGGCAGTGGAAGACAGGAGTGCCTGGCATGCTCTGGTCCATAATAATAATAATAATAATAATAATAATAATAATAATTTATTATTTATACCCCGCCCATCTGGCTGGGCTTCCCCAGCCACTCTGGGCGGCTTCCAAAAGAATATTAAAATACATCAAACATTAAAAGCTTCCCTAAACAGGGCTGCCTTCAGATGTCTTAGGGTCACGAAGAGTCGGACACGACTAAACGACTAAACAACACCAACAAAATCAGCCAATCACCCATTCTCACCACCCTTCTGAGTAATACCCCTCCCCACCCTCTCACTATATATAAGGGTCTGGTGACTTCTGTTTCAGTGTATCTGAAGAAGTGTGCATGCACACGGAAGCTCATACCAAGAACAAACTTAGTTGGTCTCTAAGGTGCTACTGGAAGGAATTTTTTTTTTATTTTGTTTCGAGTATGGCAGACCAACATAGCTACCTACCTATAACTATTACTATACAGTGGTACCTCGGGTTAAGAACTTAATTTGTTCTGGAGGTCCGTTCTTAACCTGAAACTGTTCTTAACCTGAGGTACCACTTTAGCTAATGGGGCCTCCTGCTGCTGCTGTGCCGCCACTGCACGATTTCTATTCTCATCCTGAAGCAAAGTTGTTAACCCGAGGTACTATTTCTGGGTTAGCAGAGCCTGTAACCTGAAGCGTATGTAACCTGAAGCGTATGTAACCTGAAGTGTATGTAACCTGAAGCGTACTGAAGCGTATGTAACCCAACGTACCACTGCACACAGTTCCTGATACAGCTACTCAAAGCATTGGAATATCAGCTAACACATTGGTTGCCAATGGGACACCTGCAGATGCATATACACCAGACCTCTATACTCCCTTAGTGGAAAGAAACCTCCTTTAGCAAACAGAGGAGGTTTCTTCAAGCCTAATTGTGATGAGGGGTCAATTTAAGGTAGATTGCAGCTGGGGAGGAGAAAGTTGCAGGGTCCCTACTCTGCACTTTTTTCTGGTTCTCAAATATGCCCATGGGCTAAAAAAGGGTTACAACCCCCCCCCCCATGCCATGAATACTACACTAAAATTAGGCCAGCCTTGTGAAACATTGCAAATGTATATTCCAGCCAGAGTTCTTGGTTCAGGAAAAACATTTAACTCACAAAGCTTTATCATCCATGAGATATATAAAACAAGCCCTTTCTTAATAGCATGAATGATAAGAGAGTTGAGGTATTCTCCCTATATGACTCCCTTACAGCGAATTTTTCAAATTCATACTGGTGAATAAAACTACACTCTATTTCCATATAAGTACAGAGTCAGAAGACTTTAAAACTGCTGTTGGAAATTGCATATCAAAAATGTCTCTGGTACGATAAAGCTTTTATGAAATTTGGCCATGAATTAGCAGATGTTTCTGGAACTGTAGATAAAATATTCAGTAGGTAACTTAAGAAACTATTTATGGGAAATGACAGATGAAACGTAAATTGCACAGACTCCATCTAGTGGCCAATTTAGCATAAGGTTTAGCAAAACTAGAGGATTAATTTGAACCAATTCATTCCTATTGTGCTTGTAAAATTACATACTTATATTAATTTATTTATTTCTAACACCAACTCCAAAAAGGAGTTCCTATATCACATAAAAAATATCCAATAAAATCTGGTCTTTGCCCTGATTCTGTTTGCATTCCTACATATTCCAGCTCCACAATTCTATGTAGTACTGATGCAATTAAAAGAAAACAAGCAGGCCGGTCTGGTCTCCTGAGCTGCAGGAAAAAATATATACCTCTTTTTATAGCTTATTAAATCATTCTAAGCATGAAAAACATTTCACAACATTCTGATTTTCTACTTTTTTCAGTTCAAGAATTACTGATAACTTGTCAAGGTTCTGATTGGCTTTTCCATAATGAACCATGGCATGCTCCAATCACACGGGTGAAGACATCTTGCTAGTCCCTCCTACAGCAAACCAGAGGGTGGGAAGTTTTTCACAAAAGGCAATGACGGAGCAATGATTTGGGAGAAATCAGACAATTAATGTGATTTAACTAACTAGTTATTTCAAGTGCCTATTGAAACGAAGAAAATGGGTCCAGAAATGGCTAAAAATGTGAAGTTTCAGGTTCACCTCACATGATGGGGCAACACTTCTTGCCTAATGTTGCCTGTCCTACCCCTGTATGCTATGTTTGATATAATACATGACCCTGGTTTACAAGGGCAAGAAAAAATGTAAAGAAAGAAGCATGCATAAAACACCTATCACTTGGAGATGTTTTATACCTGAAAAACTAACTCTAAAAATATCCTGCCACATTCTGGAATGCCCCTCCTCACCAACCACTCCTTTTATTATTATGTTTATATTCCACCTTTTCTCTCAGGAGAGCAACGTGGTTCTCCCCCTCTCCCTTCTACACAGCGTCTGCATTCTCTACCAGCCTTCAGGTTAAGAACATTCCCGCTGGATGAGGCCGAAGGACCATCAAGCCCAACATTCTGTTCTCACTGTGGCCAACCCATGAGAAGCATGCAAACAGGATCCAAGCGCACCAGTACTCTCCCCATCTGGGATTCCCAGCAACAGATACACTGCCTCCAATAGTGGAGGTAGAACATAACTATCATGGCTTATAGCCATTGACAAAAAAAATTCCCCTGCAAATTTGTCTATAATCTTTCATAGTCATCCAGGTCGGTGGACACTGCAATGTTAGTGGGCATCTCTAGCAAGTTCTACAGTTTAACCGTACGCTATGTGAAGTGCCCCCCCATCCACTGTCTTGAACCTTCCAGGCTTCAGTGGATGGCCTTGGGTTCCAGTATTATGAGAGGAGTAGAAAATATAACTCTGTGTCCACAACATGCATAATCTTATGTACCTCTCTCATGTCCTCCTTTTTTCTAAACTAGAAAGTGCCAAATAGTGTAAACTTTCCTTTACCAGGGGAGTTGCTTCAACCCCTTGATCATTTTGGTTTGGCCCTTTTCTGAACCTTTTCCACTTCTAGGTAATCCTTTTTGAGGTGTGGCAACCAGAACTCTACCAGCACTCCAGCCATCATCACACTAAAGATTTGTATAAGGGCAACATTTTCCTAATGGTCCCTACCATGGCATTTCATCCCTGCTATTCTCCCTACTCCCTTCAGCTTAGCTTTCCCACCTCTTAGGTCTCTGTCCAGTCCTCAACTGGCCCCACAAGGCTAATCTACATACCTTGTGTGAGTTTTCAATCCTTGGCAAACTGACAACTTCCCTTCTCTCACAGATGCTGGACTGTGGACATCAGAACAACTTAATTCCATTGTCAGACGGAACTGTTGTGAACATTCCATGACATCACATCAACTCATCCAACCATTTTTAGAAATTTCCTAAAGGGAAGTTCTATTTCATAGCCGTGTGCTTGCCATTACTATCCACACCATAAGAAAAGCAATCCATAGCACTGGGTAATTTACACAGTGCATTTACGCATAGTTACTAAGGAGCAAATCCCATTATTAAATAGGTATTACTTCCTAGTAAGTATGTATGAGATTGCAGCTGCAATTTACCATATGATAAAGTAAAGGCTGACTACTTTAAAATAGTCAAACCAGAATTTGAATTTGAGAGCAAAGATGCACCAAGACATGCCAATGCACAAAACAGAAAATGCAGTAATAAGCTGATTTTTTTTCTGCTTGCGGAGGCCACCTCACCTTGCCTAACAGTACCTTTGGTTCTGTCAGAAAAACACATATCTTAAACTAACCCCATTCCAAATAAACAATGCAGAAATGCTTATATCCCCTATCTGGGCACATGTTCTTCTTTTTCTTGTTGCTGGATCATGGCTATTGTGGGGAAATCAGTGGGGACATCTAAGGAATGTGTTTAGATAAGACCATTCTGGTACTGTCTGTCCACATTTCAGATACTCAGTTTATTGCAGTCTGCTTAATATCTAACAAGCTCTCCTTTGAATAGCTGTAGAATGTGATTTATATTAGATGGAGCGCAAACATCACTATAGGCTGCTAGTCTCTAGCTGTTGTTTTCATTCTGAAGCATTCTATCTACATAGCAGAGCCCTTTTGAGGAACGACAGAAACCCACAGAAGAAACTCATCAGGTCAGGGAAGAGGGTGCTTTCTGCAGCAGAGGGCATGTTTTGTTCTTTAGTTACGACTCAGAGTAAAGCACTACGGTTGGAAACCCTATGATAGGAAAAGCTATATAGAGAACGCGGCCTCCTTTGTTTTTACAAAATTTCAGTAAATTATGACAGGAAAGGCACGTTTAGATCAATTTCCCCCACACACATAATATATATTTAAATCTTTATCTTACCTTTTTCACTGACACTTTCACTTTCTATTTCCACGTCATCACAACTGGTATATTCAGGTGTTGATGCTCCTTCTTCCTCAGAGCTGCTGACTGACATTTGTCTTTTCTTTCCACCCCGTTTCGATCTATGGGGCTTTGGTGGAGACGGCCGCACTGATTCTGACTGGTCAGAACTAAGGGAATCATTCCTTAGCATGGTCTCCATTTTCTCCCGCTTTGCTTTCCGACTGAGAATAGCAGAGCTAGGATCTAGGCGACTCTGTGTTTTAAAGGGGTCGTGATTTTTGGATTCTAAGTGCTCTGTAGGAACCACGCTATGCCTGGGAGTTGGTGGGCTATGGTTAGCTAATTGTTTAGAAACAGAAATCCTTACATCACCTGTTCTTTCTATTGCATACGCCCTCTGAGTATCCGGGCGAGACTTTATGTCCTGAGTTCCTTGCACCTGTGAGTGCTTTCCTAGTTTATTCTCAGGTACCTCGGGCTCCTCAACTTCTGTGTGTGGCAAGGCAACGTCACTGTGTCTTCTTTCATGCCGTGCTTTTGAAACTTTTGCATGCATGCGCATCTGCTCCTCGTCGGGATGCGGCTTTACGGGATACCTTGCCAGGTTTGGATCACTCCTGTATCGAGTGTGATAGTCATCTTCTTTCCTTTGCTTCTCTCCATCTATAGCTTTGCCTTCCTCAAAATCGTGTGGGAAGTCTGAATAGTCCTGAGACCTCCCTTTCTCTAATCTTCTACCATCACGTCTTTCTTTAAATTCCCTCTCATCTCTTTGTCCTTCACCCTGCTGGAGTGAGGATTTTGGCACTCGTTTGCGCTCACCTTTTACACCTCCTTTCCCATTCTGTTCAGACCCTGCAGGTGTCTTCTTCCTGATGGGAAGGGGTGGAAGAAGAAGAAGAAGAGTTTGGATTTGATATCCCACTTTATCACTACCCTAAGGAGTCTCAAAGCAGCCAACAATCTCCTTTCCCTTCCTCCCCCACAACAAACACTCTGTGAGGTGAGTGGGGCTGAGAGACTTCAAAGAAGTGTGACTAGCCCAAGGTCACCCAGCAGCTGCATGTGGAGGAGCTGAGACACGAACCCGGTTCACCAGATTACGAGTCTACCGCTCTTAACCACTACACCACACTGGCTCTCTTCTTTTTCACTGGAGGAGAACGAAGGGGAAAAATCACACACAAACCAACGGCATGTGCCCGAGCCCAATTTTGTTCAAGCTACATTGCAATAAGTAAAAAAAAGGCACAGTAGGGAAAGAGGAAGCTGCCTTACATCGTGCCAGACCAATTGTATATAAGTATAATGTACACTGACCGTCAGTGTTTTAAGACAGGATGTTTTTCCCAGCCTGGCCTGGAGGTGCCAGGAATTGGCCCTCAGACCTTTTGCATGCAAAGCATGTGAGCTACGGCTCTTCCCCATAAATTAAAGAGAAGATTATACAAAGCCTTTGAACTTAATTATCACCTGCATCATTATTGTCATGTCAGAAAGGCAGGTGCTAAAAGAAAAATAATGAAATCTATTTTCAGTAATCCCCAAGTTGTGTTTGGTTGTTTTTTTTTAAAAAAAAATCCATTTGGGAATAGGTAAAGAAGAATGTATAAAAGTCATTTTAAAAAAACTCCATTTAGGACCAAGGCATCATGAGTCTAAATATTTGTGCCAGTAAGTGTCTCTACATGTAAGCAAAGGAATCCCTGAATCCTCTCCCAGCAACATTCGGCAGAGCAAAAAAAAAGTATTTATCCAGTGACTCTCACATTTCAAAATGCTTGCATCTTAATTGCATGAATATGGATCTGGACAAATGAAATTGTAAACTCAAATCTGAAAGCATCTGTTGAAAGAAGTCTTAGAGCCCTTCTGAAAGTTTTTATTTGCTTGCAGCTAGTATGTGTTATTTTGAAAGCCTGGAGCAAGAAATGCCCAAAGTTGATCAGAAACCGGTATCACTAAGTGCGATTACCCATAAAGCAAGAGAACGGATCTAAAAACTTCACCTTATTCCATGAATTGTGGAATTAAGAGGTGTACCTGGCTTCTTCACTATGAAGATGCACCTCTTTACTCTAGTCTATGACACATGAGATCTGTGTTCTCAGGACCCACCTTAGTCCTGTGACTGTAATTTGCTTTGTTTTTAATTCTAAATTTGAAATTCTTTCATCCACCCTGGGACCTGCTGGTGAAGGGCAGGTGATAAATAATAATTATTGTTGTTGTTGCTGCTGTTATTATTCCCAATCCCATTGGCTAATAACAGAGTATTCCAAGCATTCCATTAACTTCCCTGCAAGTAGGGAGCATCAAGTTCCTGCATATTTTACAGTACCACCTTCCAAAGAAGCCATACGAGCATGCAGGACACTAACAGTCCATTCAGCCAAACCTTTGCTTCTGCCTTCACCCAAACAGTTTCATTACTTCACACCACGGGAGCCAACTCCTAGGGGCTGAGGTCTCTTCTGCCCTCTCAATAAAATATTTGAGGGGGCTGCCCCCCAAATCGATGGGCATTGTCATTCAAATAGTGTGTGCGCACACCACGCCATGTGATCGGTTATGTGGGGCAGGGCATATCTGCCCTCAAGATCCCAAACTATTTAAAAATGGCTGTCATTACACCTCAGAGTAGCCAGTACTAGCAGTGTGTGTAGAGTGAGTTATTTAGTTTTGGGGTTTCCCACCCCCACCTAGTTAATCTTAATTCTGTTTTTAGTACATTTTAACTAATTGCAAATGTTAATTTTGTTGTAATGTTGAACTTGAAGTTGGCTCTGTCCTATTTAAATTTGATGCTGTATTTTGAGAATCTGATGAAATTTGTTGAGAGCTTCTGTGAACATTGTCCACCATTGGCAAGTAGCATACAAATAAGGTAAGCCATATACAAAGAATATTCTCCCCTCCTTTAGAACTGTTGTCTCACATGTGAATGTGCAATCCAATGTATGCTGAAGCCCACATAATCGTGCATAGGTTTGCATCTTTCACAAGCTATTTCACAATTACTTCATCAATGAATCAAGTCAACTCAGCTCAACAAATATTCAAGTGACAGACCACCGCTGTGTCCCCCCCCCCAAAAAAAAACCCCACCTCAGCGGAAGAGTTACATTTGGCATATTCATGTAGTGTTGTTTTCGTTCATCTTGTGTCATTTACAGATTAATATTATCAAATTATTTTCAGTTTAGGACAATTTGTTTTCTAATACTAACTTTAATTATGCACATATACAGAAGCCGGGATTTGTGCCTTTAAAAAGTCCAACATACATGCATGTAATTCTATATTCCAAATTAATGTCAGTTTGGTGAATATGTGTATTTTGTGAAACTCCTACTCTTGCAATTGACTTCCTCTTCCTCTGTTTTCCTTTCTGTCTTTCAATACAACTTGGCAGGGTGTGCAGATACTGCAATTAACCTAGTGTATCCCTCTCAGTACTGGTCCTGTTGACACTGTATGGGGTAGGCAAATTTGGGGGAAGGTCTCCCATATTGGGTATATGCAAAGCCATTGACAATGTGCCCCTCTGCACACCACTAAAGTGTAGCCAGAGTGCACTGAGATTTTATATATTTATAATGCCACTCTCCACTGCTTAACATTATAGCTGCAATTCTTCCCATGTGGGCAAGGCCCATTGGCATCAGTGTTACCTCTCTCTCGGGGGTTCACTTCTAGACCTTGATGAAGTCTGCTTCTGTTCCAGGCCCATAGCTTGTTGGGATACCTCTGTGCCTTTCCTCCTGTCAGTTTGCACACTAGAAGGTATTTCCTGTGAGGAGGTGACTGCTGTGCTTAGGGGTGTTTGAGATCTTGACCGTTCTTGAAGCCTCGCTTTCTTTTCTCTAGGTGCATCTGCACTGCCACCAGTAGCTGTATCACTCAGTGCTCCGTCCTGACTGGGTGGCTGTTGAGGACCACTTCCAAAAAACCACGCTCCAGATTTCGTTAGGATCTCTTGTTGCTTTCGGCATAAGTTGCATACCCACATAACCTAGTTACAAAGAAAAATAACAGTCTAAGTACTCTTCAGTTGCTGAAAGGCTTGGTTGTCTAAACATTCAAGAAGAATAAAACCTCCCTCCCGTGACGTTTGTGCTGTTGTTCATGCTCAGGACATGCTTGTGGAGTGGACCACTCTTGATTAGCTGCAGCCAAACATATTGCAATCGCGTGTTTCGCTTGGGCTGCACCAACATTTATGTTCCATCAGTACTCTGAAGCACCATCTGGGTGTTCAAAGCATGTGATGATAATCACAGGAAGCAGGAGAGCAGGACCGCACACACACAACCTGCACTGGCCCCTCCCCAACGCTGTCAGGCATTTTGGAGGATGTCCACAATACAAGCAGGCTATCCCCATGAGGTGGAACTAAGACAACAGCCTATACACACAATGGCAGGCTGCCTCACTGCAAGCATGCTGTTAAACACATGGTCAGCATTAGGGAAGGGCAGCAATGGGCCACGACAGTGGTAATGGAGCGAGCAAGCATGGACCTGCTCACCTGCCTCAAGAAGGCCTAGGCAGAGGGCCTTCTTGGTCCCACCCTGTGGAACGCCCTCCCAGCACATGTCAAGGAGCTATCCAAGCTTTAGAAGACATCTGAAGATAGCCCCGTATGGGGAATTTTTTGATGTTTTGTTATGTTTTTGTATATGCTGGAAGCCACCCAGCTTGGCTGGGGCAACCCAATCAGATGGGCGGGATATAAATAAAAAAATTATTATTGTGATGATGATGGTGATGGTGATTGTTGCATGTGTTGAACATACAAATAGGACTCAAAGAGTCAGTATGGTGTAGTGACTAGACTACAAACTAGGAGGCCCAGGGTCAAATCCCCACTCACTAAGAAACGAAGGGCACTGGGCAGGGCACAGTTTCTCAGCCCAGCCTTTTCCACAGGCTTGTTGTGAAGATGAGGTGGGCAGGAGAGCAGGGACCAAAGCTCAGTGTTAGAGCACATCTTTGAATGAAGGATGTCCCAGGTTCCATCCCTGCCATCTCCAGTTTAAAGCATCGGCTAGCAGGTGATGGAAAATGAAGAAACCCAGGAGAGGTGCTGCAGATCAGAGTAGAAAATGCTGGGCTAGATGGGCAAATTATCTGACCTGGTATAAAGCATCTTCCTAGGTTTCCCTAAGTGCCTTAGAAGAAGGTCAGCATAAAAAATTGTAGCACATAAAATGAAACTAAGGCTCCGCTGGTGGGAGTCTCCTATTCATGAAGTTCCACTAATGGGTAGAGATGTAAGGACCCATCAGTATTGGTTCCCTAAGTTCCTCATTTCAAATTCCATTCTTCACATTTCTGCAGCAATATGTGGATTTACTTCTTTAACCTCGTGAAAATTTGCCAGCATTTTCAGTGCAGTCTTCTCCCCAGTAAACACAGCCTTGTATGCAGTTGTTTTGATAATGCACACATTTTTGCAAGCATTTCCCCTTAACATAATGCATTTTTGTATGTTATTCTCATGGATATATTCATTTTATTTCACATTCCACTCCCTAATGCGGGCTTCCTCAACCTCAGCCCTCCGGATGTTTTTGGCCTACAACTCCCATGATCCCTAGCTAGCAGGACCAGTGGTCAGGGATGATGAGAATTGTAGTCTCAAAACATCTGGAGGGCCGAGGTTGAGGAAGCCTGCCCTAATGTATGCATTTTTATAAAGCGTGAATCAGGTAGAATCGGATTTAAATGCTGAATCAAATTTTCCCTGTCCCTACTGATACACCCCAACAGCAGAAGGGAGGCATTTTTCACCAGTCTCTCCCCTCCCCCAACCCCTCTGCATCTTTGTCTGTCAAAAATTTGCTCTTGAAGTTTAGTGGAGCCTCCAGAACAGCAAGAGAGGTGGGTGCATGAGGAATAGCAAAAAGCACACACCCCCCGTATTCCAGTGGGAGCTTCCAGTGGATCCCAATTCCTTCCTTGAGCATAAGGGACTATTTGTGTTTTTGAACAGCTCTTAATAAGACTAACAAACCAAGTTCACTTCACATATGAGGTGAGTTACAGTATTTAGGCCACCAGATATACCCTAACCCCCCTCTCCTTAATGAAGAAGTAAGCAAATGCAGCTGAATGTTTTGTTATCCTTCCAATCAAACATCCAATGACACATATCCAAAAATCAATCAATCATTACTCTTGAGGATGGTTTCATCACTCTCAAATGCTCCCTAGGGTAAGGTTACCAGACGTCCCCGTTTCCTGGGACAGTCCCCCGATTTACAAATCAGTCTCCATACAAAATCCATTGAAGCTGAAAAGTGTCCCCGGATTCCTTGGGAAAAAAAAATGGTAACCTTACCCTAGGGCTAAGCTCTCTCCTGACACAATGGTCCAAATATAATAGTGAAATGATTACTCTTGAAATTTCATTTGAGGAAAAGAAACAAAAGCCTTGCCTTAAGAGACAAATGTTTAAGAAGATAAAATATTATTCATAGCACAAGAAAAGTTCTATCCTCTCCCAGGAAGGTATGAAATAAAGCACACATTGTATTTCTGGGCCACTACCACTAGATTTTTAAATTTATATTTTTGTCAAGAACAGCAGCACATTAAGGCCAGATGCTGGCTCTAAGGATTATGCAGGGATCAAGGCAGCCATGCACTGTACACGATAAAAGAGCAAAAGGGGGGGAAAGGAGGGGGGGTCAAACAGCAAATCTATGCATGCTTAGTTGGAAGTAAGTCCAATTAATATTAAGAATAATGGGCACTTGCCCCCCCAAATGTAATTAGGATCAGGTTGTTAGAAAAATAACATGGAAATGAACAGAAATATTAGGAGTTGGATCCAGGAATTTGCTGCAATCCTAACCATGTTTACTCAGATGTTAGTGTCATTTAATTTAATGGAGTTTACTCTCAGGAAGAGGGGTTATTATACAGCGTTAGTCATGCCTAGAGTAGACCCACTGAACTCAGTGGGGTTGTTTTTTAATAGACATGGATAGAATTGTTTTGTTAATACTTTAAGGGCCCATTGATTCACGGGGTCTACTCTAAGCATGACCACGTATGGATCCAACCAAAGGAGTTTTCTAAGAAAGAATTCTAAATTAAATCTTTTACAGAAATGTTTCATAATAGTAACTGCAAGAAGCCAAAAAGAGTTCTTCCTTTGTCAAGGAATGAAGAAACATTTGGCATGCATGCAAATAACAAATTCTCTTTAGATACTGCAAAGAAAATAAGCAAATGAAATATCTGAGTTCATATAATATCTAAATTAAGTATTATTAACATAATCCCAAGATTCATTGTGTATTTTTTGGTTAAATGCTGGATTGGACCTTACTAAAGTTAAACTTTTGTAGTTTTAATATTTAAGTTGTGGGTATAAAGAATAAAAATGAAAAGTGTTTATTACAAAGCACATTCCCTTTTCACACAAGAGAAAATGGTTTTATAAGAAAAAACATTCATGTGTTAAAATATTTTTAAAAATCTCATCAAAAACTTAAACCTGCAGTAGACCAATCGGTTTTGGTTTAACAAAAACAAACAAAAATCTAGCTGCAGTGAAATAATAGAGGCAACTTCAACAATAAACAGGAAGAAGAAAAAACACTTCCAACTCTAGATAAAGTGAACATTTGCAAAAGAAACAAATGAAAATACCAGTTAACACTACTACACTATACAAATGTGCATATAAAATCAATGTGAAAGCCTGTTAGCAAGCAGTCGTAAGATTCTTCTTGTGTGTGTATAGCATGTGTCAAAATAGATCTGAGCAAAAATCCAATATTTTAATTAAACATAACACATCTGATGCTCAGGGAAAGATGGGAAAATAAGGGCATCATTCAGCTCTGTTAAAATAGCTGGGAGCTTTGCCAGTGACTTCTGTGGGTTGAACTCCATAGCCTAGATACAGATGTTCAAAAGTCCCCAAGTTCACTACTACCGAAACATGCACCTTGTTGTGTTTCCAATCAAAACTAGCAAATTGAAACAAATGTTCATTAGTGGAGCTATTTATAGAGCCCATGTGCTGTATTGAGGGGGGGGGCTCAAAAAGTTGTCTAAGCCAAAACCCAACATAGTATAATTATAAACTATTGATATGAAATAAGATTGACCACATAAATCCCACACATGTCTACTCAGAAGTAGGCACCATTGAGTTCAATGGGGCTTACTCCCAGGTAAATGTGCATAGGGCTGTAGTCTTTATCCTTTTGCAATGCATCCATAACATAAATTTTCCATATAACACTGACAAATGCTTCTGGATACTAATGCAACATATGTGAAACACACACATCTTCAAAAGAAACATTCCTGAATATCAATTTACACTGATGCACTTGCAATACTGTGATTATTTCTTTTGGATGAAACTATGTGTCCTAAATAACTAAACTAGCCATGGCACAAATATACATGTGTATCCATCCCAACCACCTATCCACACACAGAAACACAAACTTTTTAAAAAAGCAACAACACCTATATATGTGAAAATGCTGTGCCTACAACAACCAATCAGTTAAAAATTGAAACATTTTGTCATACACACACACCAACCATTTAGAGCTAAAAACTGAAACATTTTGTCATACACACATACAACAACACACGCCACAAATTACACATGAACAAAATCTGTATTATACTCACATAGAGACTACACTACCATCTCTGTTTAGGAGTCGCTCCAGAGCTTAGTTAATACATGCAATTTGGCCGCTGGCCTTGAGCTACAGTAGGTCCAGAGGAGGGGGGGGAGGGTAGAGACAAAAGTCCTTCTTCCAAAGAGGGAGGGGGACAAACCTTGAGGTGATATAACAGTTTCAGTGAGAAAGCCGCTTAGTGAAAAAATATTGTGTAGGGAAGTATGTGGAGCAAGCAATCTAGCAGCATGCAGGAATTATATCCTGATTGAAAATACTGGGCCATGGTCCAAACTAATCTAAACTAAAGCAGGTCTGTGTAATAACTTCTCTTAACAATCCACAGATGTTAGGCAACCAAACAAACACACTGATGAAGGATTACAGTCCTTTAATGTGGCTTCTGGACCTCCATGCGATGCACCAGGAACTCTAAGGAGGATTCTGTGTTAGAGAGAGTTAGAATCTGCATGTATTTCTAACTGCTTCGAACGTGGAATTGGAATAGATTGCTAAGAAATACATTTGCAGTTCATTTCTTGTTCTTGGGTGCATCTTGATGCAGCATTTCAGCAAATCATCAACACGGTTACTGTGTACCTACATAAAGCACATGCATGTTTGCATGTGTGAAGCTATGTTAAAGCTGGACCAGTCTGTGTTCAACATTCTGCGTTTGCACAGAATACTGAGCCTGGGTTTCTGGCTCATCGTGATTTATCAGGGCTGAGCAGCATGCTGAAGCAGCAACGCTGCCAGAGCACTCTGCTTCACTCCTCCTCAGGTGTGAGTGGGATAAACCAACCAAGAAGTCTTGGCTTTGCATTACATCCAACCCCAGGATAATGGCTTGCAATTCCACTACAACCCAGGTTTCACTAGCCAGCCTGGAGCCATCATTTAATTCATTATAAGATTTCTTAACCACTCTCCACCATAAGATTTCATGGTAAAGGTAAAGGTAAAGGGACCCCTGACCATTAGGTCCAGTCGTGACCGACTCTGGGGTTGCGGCGCTCATCTCGCTTTATTGGCTGAGGGAGCCGGCGGTTACAACAATAAAATGTACAGTCATAAAAAACATAATTACTGTTTCAGAACACAGAAAACTGTTCCAAATGGGACAGAAAAATATAGATTCAACAAAATGAAACTAAAACCTTAACTATCAATGCCCAAGGAACCATGAGGCATGTTTTCAGCATTTGTGCCTGGCTTGTAGATTGTGGCTTGTTTTGTGGCAAAAAAAACCCCAGTGATCCCTGGTTTGGACTTAACAGGAAGGCAAGGGCTTTATGTTTGTTTATCTTGGTCATGCCAGGGGATGAATGAAGCAGGAGCAATTCGGCAATACGATTTGCTCCTGGCAAGCCACGATAAACCAGAAATTCTAGCATATTTTTATGTGTGGATCTGGTGAAAGTGTTCATTTTCATGCTACGTGGAAATCTTCCCATGTGTTACCTTATCACAAGTAAGTCTCACTGACCCCTTTGTGTGGCAACACTTACGCTAATAATAATAAAGAGTCAAGCACACACAGGATTAATCTCAAATTGATGAGTCCAGGATTCACACACAGATCCATGTGAAAACATCACTGTGGTGGAAACATGCTTCAGAGAAGTAAAAGGACTGCATGCTTGCGCTTGTGTGAATAGTCTGGAGTGTTTTATTCATAACCACATATAAGCCTCGCACTTACTGTCTCTGGCCCTTCCCACTGCAGTCCGTGGCCAGCAGAGACATTATTCCTGTACTAACACAACATGAAAGCAAGACATGAAAATCCTTGCAATGAAATTGCAAACGCACCATACATTGCATAAGTTGGCACTTACATTTTCGAATTTTTAACTGCTCCCTGCACAAACATGGAGTAAAAACACATTATCTCTTAAGCAATTTTCTATTATTGTGGAACTGAAAAGGCTGGTTCACACAGCCTACTATCCATTGGGGGACGCGGGTTTACAGTGGGTAAAACCTCAGCGCCTAGGACTTGCCGATCGTATGGTCGGCGGTTCAAATCCCCGCGGCGGGGTGAGCTCCCGTCTCTCGGTCCCAGCTCCTGCCCACCTAGCAGTTCGAAAGCACCCTTAAAAGTGCAAGTAGATAAATAGGTACCGCTTTATAGCGGGAAGGTAAACAGCGTTCCGTGTGCTGCGCTGGTACAGGCTCGCCAAAGCAGTGATGTCACACTGGCCACGTGACCCGGAAGTGTCTGCGGATGGCGCCGGCTCCCGGCCTCTTGAGTGAGATGAGCGCACAACCCTAGAGTCTGGCAAGACTGGCCCGTATGGGCAGGGGTACCTTTATCTTTACTGTCAGGAACATAAAAATCAACATGATCTAAATGTTATGGTTCCCTCAGCACACAATCCTTGGCCAGAGCGTGTGCAAGTTCACCCAGCATCTACAGCTACATTTAAGACCAGGTGTTATATAACACCGTTAAGCACTGAACTTACCACTATAGCTCTGCAAAACAGTAGCAAATCTACCTTAAGTCACATTTTATGGAGTTTGAATTTGGATGTTGGCTATTGATTCAAAGTAGCTTTAAGCTCTGTGCATTTCGAGGCTGCTCTGGTTTTTGTTTCCTTCATTGCTTTTCACTGCCTTAGTTTCCCTACACCACAGCCAGTGACCAAAACAAATAAATCATCACTATGGATAAGAACAAATAAAAACATATCATCCACATCAAAGAAGTGCTTGTCTTCATTTTAAGTAGTTTATATAGTCTGCCTTTCCATATAAGATTTGGAAAAGGGACAGATTTACACGGCTTTCCATAGCCTCTCCAGCACTTTGGTGAGGCTCAAGATGTTGACAACGTAGCTAAGAATTGCAGAACGTATCATGCTGTCAGGCACACCGAGCAGATTCCGTTAGAACATTATGTTTTGATGACAACGTTATTGGTTATATTTGTTCAGGAGGACGGTGTTCCTAAAAACAAAAACAGCATAGGGGAATATGTATTCTGTCTACTAATTAGATTAAATCATTTCCCCCACCAACATCAAAATGTCAACTATTATAATTTACAACAGGCAGTAATCTAAATATAATCAGTTGCATCAAGCCTCATGGAACTTCTCTCAGTAGGCCAGTGGGGCGAGCATACAGATGCACACAGCAAAGATTCTTCACCCCCAGACGCTTTCCTATTAGTATTAAAGCCTTTGTTTTTCGAACATGGTCCGGTTGCTAACGCTCTGTTATCTTCCCTAAATAGGGAAGAGTGCTGTGAACCACCCTGAGATCGATGGATGAAGGATAGCATACAATAAACTCAATAAACAAAGAGTGGAACCCAGTCAAATTTATTCAAATGTCCATTCTTCTCTAAATATTGCTTAACTAACAAATATACAAGGAATTTTCAATTGATTTAAAAATTCTTCAGGGGATGAAGATACTGCTTTGGTGTCTCCTCCATTAGAAATCTGTGATTATAGGCCTGTATGGCTCAAATTTCATCCCTCCCTATTTTTACCTGCCTACTTTAGGCTCATGGAGAGAGAAAAACTAAGGTTTTTGCCTTGATTGCTTAATTTCTATAGCTGACACAATTTCAGAACGGGGGGGGGGGGGGAGTTGATTGAAGTATAAGCCGCAATACTATTTATTGAACCTGAGGCCACAAAAACAGGTACGCCTTAATATCAGACATATGGACGAGGATAGATTCTGCCCTGTTTACATAAAGTCTAGCCAAAACAGCAATCTCCCTTCCCTTCATTACTTTTTTTTTTTAAATGCACATGAAACACAGAATGCTTTGCCTGCCACTGATATATGCTTCATATAATTATGGTGCTAAACTCTGGCATAGCTTTACTCTGGTTCAGGCTCCTGCCTATGGCAGGTCTGTCTGATCAACAAACTAGTAAAATCAGAAAATCTGAATGTGAGCCAATCTAGGCTCAGTGAAATCAATGAGAGTAAAGCTGGCTTAAACTCAAGTACTCTAACTTCTGTGGTTTACGGATGTGCCTGCAAAGCACTGCCCTCTTTTGCTTGAAAAAAATAATAATACAGAAGATATAGAGCTTGGTTAGATTCATAAACTATTAAGATGTTTTCCCTCTCTAGCATCTTGCACATACAGTGATATGCAACCTAATTCACATGCCAGTTTTATGTGGCACTCAATTTTTATGTTTCCATTCTATTCAGGCTCTTATTTCATTTTCATCACTGGTCTATCTGAGCTATCATATTCCTCTCATAAATTCTGAGGGTCAAACTGCACATCGTGTTTCATGCGGTAGCATACAGCTATATCTGTTTTTCTTAAATTAATTACAGCAGCCAGGGGTGGGGACACACAATTGTTATCAGGATCACTTTGTGCAGGAAGGATAGATTTATCCCTTCCCTTCCCATGTGCAATCCCTTCTGCACAGTCCTGATCAGCATGGCTATAAGGATTAGAAAGAAGGTGCTATAGTGTCAATTTAAAGTGAGGTTCTTAGCCATTCTAGAGGGAGGAGGTGATTTTCAGGGCTGATACAGTTGGGAAGAGAAGGGGTAACTTATGCACTGTGATCCCAAAAGTAATATGGGGTTCAATAGCTATAATGAAATAAAAAACAAGCATTAAGCATAGCATGTGGTTGGATACTGGCATTTTCATATACGTGGGCTGAAAAGTAGACAAGTCAGAGACACGTAATGAATTGAGGGTGTGTGTGTGTGTGTGTGTGTGTGTGTGTGTGTGTGTGTGAACAACTGGGATATCCCTCCTCCCGTAGTACAATAGCACAAGGTGCCTGAGTGCTGAGGCTAGTCTAATAGTACGCTTGCTCTATAATTATAACTGCTGAGGTTTGAGAATAAGTGAGTAAGAAGCAACTCATCTAGCCCATGACCCAAGCAGTACAATGAGGGACAGATACTGTTGAATCCTACAGTCCTTTAAACGTATCGTATCCCCCCAGGATTTTAGGGGAGGGAAGTGAGTACTGGGAAATGAACATCACACAACACACTTTCCCTAAACCCTAATCCTCCCCCAGGATACTATAAGATGCTAGCCACGGTTCAATGCAGTCATTTTTACCACCCTGTTCCTCCTCCTCCCTTGTAGATGCTGCAAAAGTTTCTGCCTCCCGGAGGCCCATGTTCTGGGGTTTATTATACTTTGTTTTCCTACATGGGTGGCAAGTCTTGTAACGATACACAAACCCCTACCTTGTTTGTGAGTAACCCCATTTTGCTGCCAAACTAATAGGTACAGAACATTAGAAGGTTTGTCCTCAGAAGGAACAAGTGGGAACCTGCAGCAAAGTGTTGAAGTATATCCTCAGTCACTAACAGGTTCAGGATACAAGCCAGCTTAAAACAAGAGCCTTATAATGCTTTTGGGGACTTATTACGGGCAGGTGGGTGGGGAGAGATTGCAGGAGAAGAAAAGGGGCATGATTGCTTTTTCTTTCTTCATTCCCTTGTTATTCACTAAAGCTGCATTTATTAATTCAAAATTTAATCTTATGTCACTGCCAACAGAATTTGCTTTGTAGAAGGGGGGGGATCTTACATAAGATAATCATTTTTCCTGGTTAATAGCAGTTCAAACCATGACCAGTTATCCCCAGAGGTTATATTAGGTTTTCCCCCCTTTGCAGTGAACTGCACATCAATAATGCTGTATAAAGTCAGGTGTACTAAACAGAACAGAAAGACTACAATCCATTGCAGATATGCAAACACTAGAATATCATGCGAAGCTTCCTTTTATTTTTAAAATGTCTGTGTTTACCATAATGCTACAGGGAAAAGCTTCTCTTTTTTATGTGAAATTATTAAGCAACTGCCTAATTTTTAAAATTCTAGCGGTACAAACCTATTCACATTTATTTGGAAGTAAATATCACAAGATTCAAAGTGTCTTATTCCCATCTCAAGTTTTACATGAGAACGATGCATCTAAATCCAGCAGAAGCATGAAAACTGCTTCAGCACCTACTTTCAGCACTATTTAAATATTCTGCTTTAACTTGGACAGGTATATGCAAAACGGTGCTAATAGTGATTTCCCTTCCACTCATGCTTCTTTTTTAATCAAATCCATTATAACTAGTCACACATGCAAAGAAATACTATTTTGTAAACAAAACGTGTGCAAGCACCGAGTAGAAAAAGATGCTGGACTGGAGAAGGTCCTACATGAAAATTCATGATCTGAAACAAGCCCTCGCAGAGCAAAAGGCAGTAAACATACAGAATACATTGGCACCTCTGGAAACATTTTGCCAGCCAAGTAGAATCTTCCTTCCCTTTAGAGCCATCAATGGAAAACAACCGTCACACGAGAGATGTACATTTTAGATTTACCAAACCTACACTATTTAAGCCTGTTCAAGTCAGTCTAGCCTGGGGGTGATATTTACTCCACAGCTTTGAAGTTGTCACCTGGCATCAGGTGACAAACAAATGGGCAGTCCATGGAGTGGAAGAGGAAAGGACCTTGCCTGCTGGTGAGATGAAATTATCCACCCTGACCTGGTGCCTCACCTGGATTAATTTGGGCAGGATAGGACCTGTTTATTGAGCAATGGTGAGTCATTTACAGACGTTACAGCCACCTGCATCTGAAAGCATTTCTGAGAGAGCTGAATATGGTTATGGGCAGATGTGAAGCAATCTGCATTCTGGGCTTCACTGTCAGCTCTGTTACTGCTAAGGGTCTTAAGATGTAAGACCCTTGCATAAATGTAGCTCCTGCATTTGAAAACCAATATTCAG